ATCTTTCTCGTTCGCTTCGTGACTGAAAACGAAGTTGCAAAATAACCCGTCCTTGAGCGGTGAAGTAAAGTTTCTTCGGAGATAATGGAATACAGTTCTGAAGTGTTAAAAATGCCGATAATTTTGCCGACAACCATCATCGCCGTTGCGCAACGAAATTGTTATGTAAAACGAGGTGTCAACGAAAACGGTGTGTGTGTATAATTGAAAGTGAAAACATCGTTTTGGATGAGGATTCAAAAGGTTAGAGGATTCTTGAGCCTAAATGCTGTGGAATTTTAAGACATTTTCGCCAACCTATTAACACCTTTTCTAATAACGCTAATTAAGGTTACAGGAAATGATCGGTTAACATATATGGTGTATACTTCCTGGAGTTACTATACCACGTTCGAAACTCACGTGAAGTTTATTTTGTTGAAGTTGTTTTTAAGTTGTTTTTAGCATTAAACATTAAATCGAGAGTTGAAATTACTTTAAAATAAACCTGAAGTACTAGAGCGAGTCGATAAGTAGTAGAAAGTAAAAGTCGCCCGAGTATTATTTCATTGCCACTCGGTTACCTTGTACGTAAAATACTCGTTCTATAAAGGAAAACATTTGTGTATAAAATAAATCGTAACAGTAGGAAACTTATTTTCAGTACCTATTATAGTTACTACCGCAAAATGAATAGAATGCGTTAATAACAGAGTTTGCAATAAGGATACGGCACTAAGTTATTATTAGTTACCAACTGCTCAATTGTGCGAATTGACTGGTTACGCAATGAACAACAGCAGCGTGGGATCACCACGGTGGTTTCTAAAAACTGTGAGAAATGGATTTTCTTTTTTATCACGTTACGGTTTATAACAACGAAAAGTATCCATTGAAACAATTCGTTTTGGAATTTTCTTCTGCTAAAATACATTTTCTATCGATAGTTTTTACCACCGTTCCAGATATTATCTTTAAAGCTCAATTATCCGCTTTAAGTATTTGTTAGTAAACAGTTACAATTGTGACATAACGCCTTAATTTCAAATTATTTCTTGAATCAAAAAATGCGTTCAAATCAAAACTAGAGTTTCCAGATTTCATCTTCAGTTCATGCTTCCACACCTATTGCATTTGTTCTAAATGTTAACCAGTTTGAACGAGTTCATTACTATTTCCATTGTGGTCTACAATCATTAAGTGATTAGTACAGTTATTTTATGGTGTTTTGTGAGTTGTGCCAAAGAGTTATCTATAATTTTCAATTTGCCTTGAGTGAAAGTCCATAATGGTGTACCTACAAAATAAACTTTTAGATTATATTGAAAATAATAATCAAACTTTTTTATAATACTACACTAGAAATGTATTTACTAAAAGCATGTGACATAAGTCCATACAATGCACGTATTGCAAAATACAATTGAGTATCGAAAACAAGGGAATGATAAAAGTTAATTGTAACTGCCATGGTATTCATAATGCTGGTAGAAATGCTTGTAAAGTACTATCTCTTGATGTCGAAGCAGAATTCTCAAATTTTGCTGAAAAACTGAATATCAAAAAATGATAAGGCATGTTACAACAAGATGGCCTCACCTATGTGGTGCTCTTGATCGTGGAAACGATCTTGGCCAGCAGTAAAAAAAGTATTCTTTAGAGGTAGACAAAGAAATCATGGATTTTATTAAAGGTAACTACATAATGTGAAAAATGTCTCAACCCTTTTATGAGCAAAGAGAAGGTATTTTTTCATCTTCAAAAATCTATTGCAACATCATCAGGCGACATTCTAACATCTATCAGGTTATACATATTATATATATTATGAGAGCTTCCATATATTATATGGAAGCTCTCATAACCTAGACATAATCGCCTGAGCATAATATAGCTCAGTGATTCCATCTTTGTCTACAGGTGACCTAAAAGTATACAGGTCTACATGTAACGTTTTAACATCATTTTGATACACCAGTTCTCTGACTAATCTGTAAGAATAAGTGTTTTTCCTGACAAAGTAGGTGGTTTGAACTAGATATTTACATCTATTGTCATTGTTCTGATTTGTGTAGTTATGTTCTAGAGTACTTCAATATTCTTCCAAACAATAAAGAGAACTCGGACGAAGAATTGGATAATAAAACAAAGGAATATATGGAACCTCTGGAGTCTACGTCTATTGTAGGGTTTACAATGTGTGATATCAGTTTGCTGTCACACTCAATAAGCCAAATTACTTCACCCATTATTTCTGAATTAGCAGATGACTTTCTCAGACTGGTATTTTTAAAGTTGATTTATATGTCTATACAGGAAGAAACCAAGGTTAGTGGAGAGAACACTGTTATCATTCTCAAAGAGTGATAAAAAGCCAATGATACAATATCTAAACATAGACTTTTGAAAAAATGCAGAAACTACAGTTCATACTAACATACTAAAGAAATTATTTATTTCCATCAAGTATTCCATGAAGATATTTTAGAGGTCATACAAGATCTTTATAGGAAGTATAGTAAGGGCCCTCTAAAAACTGAGAAGATACTTCCAAAGAAGAAATCAAAGCAGTCATATTGAATACACCAAGTACCACATTCAGCAAAATTTTGGTTCAGTGATGCGTTTGTGACAGTTTCCTCCGTGGCGAAAGTCAAGAACATTCCACATTTTTGTATGTGCTCAAAAAAACGCTGTTCCTTGAAGCAAAATATTTAGTTCCAAAATAAGATAGATTAACTTAAGTTTGAGGTTCTGTCTCATCCTGAATTCAGTTGTAGTTCTCTTCTTTTGCAGGCTAAGTAACATTGGCAATAAGCAAATTTTCTTGTAATAACTTAAAATACTGCTACTATAATGCATGCACAGTTTCTAATTGCTTGTGATTTTTAATATAGTCATTTGGAAGGATATTGTATTAGTGGTGACGCAATTCCTATATCTCTACTACAAATAAATACGAATGACTTTCCACAAGGTATGTTATGATATCACAAACATTTTTAACGCTTCCTTACTCAACCAAAATATCAGGGCATACAGAAAGTGTAAATTTTTATTTTGTCCGCTGCATCCACCAAAAAAACAAGCGAATACAAGATTCGCCAAACTGAGAATTGGTAAGAAAATTCAGAGCCAACCTCATTAGAACCACCACCTGCATTATCTTTAGACCATACTTAAGAAAGCGGATCTTTTGTAGCAATATCGATGACACACAAACAGTAAAATGTAATGTGATGTGGTTTCTTGGAAAGCCAATTTGGCTAAATTTTGAATCTGCTGTCGATCAAAGTTTGTTTTGGTATTTGGTTTCATTTATAAGATGTTAAATTGTTTAGTTTTAACTTTATGAATGCTCGCAATAGCTGCATAAGTTGCTGCTGAACCGAAACCCAAATTAAAATGTTTAGAACAAACTTTGTATTACACATATTTTTTTTATAGGTAACAAAGAATGCAGTTACAACCTCTTTGGTTTCAATTGACTATAATCGTATTTTTATCCTTGAAATATTCCTTTAGAACTCTTCACTTTGTCTAGTTTATTTGTAATCATTTTAGTCTTTCTGTCATCACCTATGTTGTTATGAACGTTCTCCCCTTCCCTAATTTTTCACGTAATAGGCAGAATACGCCTTGAAGAGATTTCAAACAGCTTCTCAAAGAATTACTTGAAACAAAGACTTCTTTACATTTACATTACTTATTTAAAATTTACATAATTAATAATAAACTACTACATTTTTATTACTCACTGTAAGCCGGACATGACAATTATGGGGCATGTAGGTCTGAACATTTCTTGGTGGTCCTGCCTGACTTTTTCGACTTTTCAGCTAATCTCGAATTTTGGCCGTCCGACTGAAATTTTTGCAAAAAATTTTGCTAGATGTCAACTTTCAAGAATAATCTCGTTAGGCTTATAACTTACGACAACATATAATGTGTAATACATTAGTATTACCTGAAACTTTGTGTACTGCACATTTCTAAACAACATGTAAACAACGCAGCAACACGTAGTAGTAGTACGTAGCAGGAAACGATTAAACCATGTGTAAGGGACTTGTGAAAGTAAACCTGAAAGCGTTTTGTAAAAAGGTGTGTGAATTAATGCAGGGACTTAATGCGGTTTGATATAACAAAGCACCAAGTGTGATGAACCAGACCAATTATTACTTCAAAATGAAATTTTTGTTGTGACTGATACAATTATGTTGCAAAGAAACAAGGAGACTGTTTATTGCGCTGGAGTGATAGCAGAATATAATCAAGTAATGAGCGGCGTCAACAAATTTGACCAGCTACAGGAGATTATATAATGTTAGATTTACAGGAACAAATAATCGACTGAAAGATCAGTTCTTTAGAAGTAAAATATCAACAACTTTGAAGTATGTTACACCATCAGAAAAACAAACATTTACAAAATAAACTTCATCGGTTTACTAAAGAACTTTAAATAATAAATACTACTTAAATACTTTGAGTTCTTAAATTAAAAAAAAATAGAATTTTGAATATCTACAAGTATTAAAAGTTAAAAATGTTATTACAGAAAATTAGACGTATGACGTGGTACTTCTTATATAAAAACTGAAACTATATTTTCACACCTTAATTGTTGCAGGAAACTGCAATCTTATTTATGAAGATTAAGAAATGAGTTCACAAATGAAAGTTCAAAATTGTATGTATCTGAAAATATATCACATTGTTGAATATTAAAGAAAATGTGAAAGGTTTCACCTCTTAAAACAACACAATTCCTCAATTACTTATACATACAACTCCTTACCGATTCTATTAACCCACTTCATCGTTAAATTACCTTTTTTCCTATAAGATAATACATAATCGCCGATCAGATCGGTGCCAAGGTTTAACTTAAGAATTATATGGAATTTAAGAATTAATGTGATGGTTCAAAGAGCATACAGATATACTCCACACCTTCAAACGCTTGTTGTACCGTAAAGTCGTGACATTGCAACTCATTGAGTATCCTTTTCTTACAGGATAATGAAAAGGCCACCCGGACTTTGGTGTCTTCTCATAATAGGTAAGAAGAGAAACGTTACGCAACGATCATCACCTTTATACTTTTAATCATCGTGTATTTCTTTTTATATTTTCCTTTTGTGTTTAGCCACATTCTGGTTGTGCATACAAGATGTTAATTCGCTAAGGGCCACAGCTTTGATATTAGGAAAAAGCCCATCGACCACAACCACTACAACGGAGGCACCCCAAGAAATCGATGGCCAAGAAGTAAGTTAGAAATAATTTTATTTTAACGTATTTAAGCAACAAATTGAGTAGAGAGAAAGTGAATGAAACGGTCCATATAGTGTATCTGACGCAATCGTTGACACCGTGCCAATTCTCGACCCTCACAATCGAAATTATACGAAATTCTTTAACATTTTCTTGCAACATTTACTTTACATTAATAGTTTCTGCAAAGCAAAAAAGTTAAAATGGTGCAGTAAAAAATGTAAATGAAAACTCTATACTAATTATTAGACTTTAATAGTTGCGTAAAACGTAGAGGCATAACTCTGAGCCAATTACACTCTTTTGATAAATGTCCTACTTACGCAATTTTGCGTAAGTAAGTTTACTCGAACGTGTAAGAAACGAAACTTTCATTTGGTGACATGAAAATAACTTCTTAATTCCATTTAAAATTATATAAAAGTCGACTATTTTTATGCTCAATTATAAAATATCAACAATTACGTTCATTTTGAATCATCAATTAATTTATTATATAAGAAATTTCATAAATTAATTGAAACCGTTTTAAATGATATGTCACGTCAAGATATACATAATCCATATAAAACGTATTGGGGTTATATAATAATTTCTAAAACGGAAATCCCGTTTTAGAAAGTTTAACTGTGGTTTATGGTTCATATTGCACAACATTGTTATATCATTTTTTTTGAATCGTATAAAAATTAAAACTAATCTACTTTGAATATTTAAAAATTTCTTTCTAACTCAAGAATAAAGATATTGTCTTAAAAAAAAAGAAAATGTGTAATTTATAATGGAGAATGATGATATTTTTAGTTCAGAAAAAGATCTTGTACCTATAAATTTAAACTTTTAAACAACAATCTTCTCGTTTACCTTTTTTTATAGCCTCTCCCATCTTGTTAATTTCTTGCTGTTTATGTTTTCAATAATCCAAGGAAGGTCGATATGAATCTTAAATGTCAGAAAAATAAAATAACATAAAAATCAAATTAAGATGATCGTAATTTATAGCATTTTAAATCATTTAAGTTTTAATTATTTAAATGTGTATAATGATCTTATATAGTCATAAAAGCGAAATGCAAGGTTAACGTAAAGATCGACGACGCGTAAAATTTTACACTCGAACGCTTACATAATTAACAATAAATGTTTGCATGTAAAAGACATAGCCTTATGTCTTAACGATGTATCTTCGGACGCAGATCGGTGATTAGAAATTCGCTTAATTGCTTTCTTATTGAAAGTCGTTGGGTCTCTAAACGTTTATTAACTGCATCCATCAAATTTATTAAGGATTCATCAAAACGAATGTGTTTTAACTGAATTTCTTAGTGTTATTATATTATTTTTATTTGCTTGTTATTAAATGTTCGTGACAACTTAAAGGTGTGCATGTTTGTTCATATCTTCAACCAGGTTGACCTTCAGTGTTATTTGTTGATCATCGATGTCACACACCCACTCTTCGACAACTCTTCGTGGGGAACCTTATGTGCAGAAAAAGCAAAACAAACAATTACATGTATTTAATTTTAGACGATACAAGGTCACTTTTAATTAAAAGGTCGATGTACTTTAATCTTTACAGAAAATTTTCAAGCATTTTTAAACTATAATATTATACTGGTGGTAGAACATTTTGATGTTTGAGGGTTTTTATGTTAGATATATTGACATAAAATGAAAAGAAATAATGAGACTAAAGGATGACAATATGATTTACTTCGTTCAAAACACAGGATGTTTATAACAGATGGGACAACAATCTGGAATAATACTCTCCACCATGCGGTTAAAAATATGCATGACACATTGAAGTGCAGCAGAACAACAAAATTTTTATTTATTTATGGCACAAAATATACAAAAATGCTCTGTATTACTACATTACAATTATAGAATAATTGGGCAAAACAACCTAAATGTCGTGGCATTTCATATTCAATTACACTATAATATAAGAGCTGTTATGATAGAGATAAGTGGTGATTTAAGTGTGGTTGTGTAATATTTTATAGACAATGTTTTCATTGAGTGAGTCAAGTTATACTAACAACTAGTGTCCATCATAGTGACCACCATAGAGTAACTTCATTATCGCTGGCGAGTTTTGTCAGGTTGTCACAGACAACTACTCCATGTCCTACTCCAAAAGGCAGAAGGTTTTGAGGAAGCTCTTATGTTGTATCATGTTTTGTATCCAAGTTGCTCGGCAGCTTTACCACCACCTTTACGGAACCAGAGAACATGTGGTGTATTTTTTGTCCAGTTAAAGAGGCACTTGAAAATTCTGACTATTTTTGCTACTAATTCTTTTGTGGTCGCTCCACCAGCGATTAATTTTCTCTCAGTCTCTAATATATGATATGTATAGTATAAGATGGAAATGATAGATAAAATCAAGTAGAGAGCAAAAGAAGTATTAAACTTTTCCAAATTGGTTTAATGCAAATAAGCTTATTTTAAATAGCGAGGTAAATTAAAAAGAACCTTGCACCAATTGTTTATTAATTATCAATTAACTCATTGAAGCATAGTGGAGAAACCGTAAATTTCCTTCAAATTCTTACCCTATAGATTTTTGCAGCTAATTAACGTCTCAGTACATGTATATTTATGCACCATTTATTTCTTTGAACTACAAGTTGTTAATTTGCATAAACTGCGTCACCTGAATAGAATCATTACATTCACAAACTCATTACACTACAGTATCTTTAGGTGAATGTACATGATTGTAATACAAATACTGCAGGTGGGAATAATTTATTTAAAACTCAATAGATACAATAGTAGGCAATGAATTATAACTTTATTACCTTTTCATCAGCTTTATTGAGGTTCGTAACTTTACTGGATGTAATATTTCTTTCGAATGGAAAGATGATTTCGAGAAGCAGATTTAAGTTAAAACATGGAAGAAAGTCTAATAGTAATAATAATGTAACAATCGATTCCTGAGAACTGTTTTTTGGGTAATGACGATTATCTTTGTGGGAGTTTGGAAATGACGTAGATGAAGATTCAAGCAATTAAATGTACCAACCTGATATCACAAAGCCAGTCGATCTGTTTTTAATGCTATTCCTTTTGCCACAGAATAAAACTGTTCATCGAAAACTATTCATAAAATGATTGTTATAGCAATAAAATTGTTTATGGTCATAAAAATTCAAACAATATCATCATACATCAAACGAAGCATCAGTCGAAAGGAGCATAGTGAAACTAAAGGACCGAATTACACCAAGACATTGTGTCCAGTATAATACAAGGTGTGGCAAAACTATCTCCCTAGTTTTGAAAATAATAAAACAATGTTTATGCAATAAGCAACATTTTTATATCATTAAACTGAAATATAGGAAGATTTACTTCAACTGGTATTAAAGATAATATAGGTCAAGTGTTGCTCATCCTTGTCCAAACACTGTTGCAAAGCAAATCAGCAAATCAGAAGTTTTGAATAACTCTTTCTAGCAATCATTGCGATGTTTTGTGTAATTTAGTATGGATTGTTTCCTTTTAGATTAGATAGTTGTTCAGTTATAAGATCATAATTCAGTTACAATAAGTTTTGTTCTTCTTCCATTTCGGTAGCCTTTTTCTCGCCAACTTTAAATCCGTCCAGATCCAAGGCATATCTTTGGTTCTATGAACTAAGTTGTCTTTTTTCCCCAGATAAGGAGCTAACCTGTTCTGGGAAGTCTCCTCCTTTACCCGGGTTTGGGACCACGCACAGTTACCATGCTACTTAATTACCTAGTAGTTAGTATAGGCGGCGTTCATTTACTGAAAAATGTTATTCTGAAAAAATAAAACTAAAAATGTATTGTAGAGTCAGTTATACTAAAGTATAATGTAGCAAAATCGAAGTATACCTACGTAGTAGTAAATTAGTTAAAGATTATAAAAATGAAAGCATCTAATATTTTTCCCATTATTTTTTACCCACTCTATAAATATTATATTGTCCTGTCAAGACAGTCATAAATTTAAACTTTTACTTAACCTACTTGCCTTAAAAAACCTTATTTAAGATTGACTTCTATTAAAGGAGGCATACAAAAAGAAAAGAAACACCAACTATTTTTTAGAAAACATTGATGTATTTGGAAATCCCCAAATTCTAAGAAATAAACACAAATATTTTAAACAAAAAATTAATTTTTTACACAATCTTCCAAGAAAAGCTGCTTCAGATTTTTTTAACTTTCACTAAAACATTCTCCAGAATTACATATTATCGTATACGTGTCAATTGTATTTATTTCAATTTATAACCTTCCTCAAGCTTATAAAAAAAAACTGATCATCACCTTGACTTTAATACCCACTCATACTCATTCTCACATACGAATCTAATTTTTCGTCTCACTGAGCCATCTGCTAGTTTAGCAATTGTTAGAAAGTGAGTATTTAGACCGAGAAAAATAGCTTATATTAAGTTTCTAATATAATATTTTACTGTTTTTCTAGTTAATGTTGCATTAACTATAAACTAATCATAAATGAATCCAAAAGCATTTAAAGAATGTCATTTCGGTATTAATATACTGCCATTCCAACACGAAATTTTAAAGGCGTGGTTTAACACGCCTCAATAGTATTGTCTTTGCGGTATTTATGAACTTGTTGTTTACAGGTTGTTCTTACTTTATAATTTTAAACGAATTTTAAACGATTTTTTTAGGTAATTACTGAATCTAGTGTTTCTGAAGAAACCCAAAATGTTACAAAACCCATTTTAACGGGAAACCCCCAAATAGATTATATTTGGGATCCGAATCTTCCAAGAGAATTAAATGGATACAACTTGAGTGAATATCCATTCTATGATGGATTGCCTGAAGATATTACTTTCAAGTGTGACGGTCTTCACGATGGCTTTTATGCAAGCGTACCTCACAAATGTCAGGTGAGAATTTTTTTTAATACCTTATCCACGCGGTTTTTAATCGAAAATATAACCACAAGGTTGTTTTTAAAAATTAAAATGCAATGAAATTGAAATTTTTGCAATAAGAGGTGCTCCGATGAAAAGGTGAGATGCACAAAGGTAATTCTTCTTTCTAATTTAAATAATTATAATTGATTAAATTTAGAAAGGAAATGAACGTCGTAAATTGTTTGCTTGACATTTTCATTAAGAACAATGATTATTATTTCATCTCATCGATCTTTTAAATTTTTAAATTCATTTTCTAATTGGATGTTTCACCTTTGCTATAAAATATCATTAAATAAAAAGAAAATATATCATTTATGACACTAATAGACAGTTTTGCTCCATATAATCAATCTCACCTAACCTTCCTTGCTTTCACTTTCTGTCTTTCGTTAAGATCTACAAAGATTTTAGAATAAAGTTTCAATTTCTTCGTGTTCATTTGCTCACTCACCTATATGAAAGGTCTTTTCATTGTGAATGTGTCCTCTTCCTGCAAGCGACGACAAACGAAACCAATCAAATTCTCTACACTTTCTTTGCGTCATGGTTCATTGAGCGATGATGATGGGGCGAAATTTTTTTTTGGGACGCGTTCACTTTTGCTAACTTACATAAAAAACTAATATATAGATTACGTATTTAAAAAGCTAATCTCAATTTGTTAATCGTTAACGATGCCATTAAAAAAAGTAATTGATGTATTATGATGTAACGATTTCAAAAGGTCGAAGAGGAAATCTGAAATGTTGTTCTTAGCAAAGATTTCAAGGTAAATACTTGAAACTAAGTTTTATTTTATTTTTTCGTCAGGTTTATCATCATTGTCTTTTCGGAGTCCGCTACGACTTTTTATGCGCCAATTACACAGCTTTTGACCAAAAAACGTTTATTTGCCACTTCGTTTCTGAAGTTGATTGTGTGAATTCAAAAAAATTTTGGCATAGAAACGATGCTTTGTATCAAGCAGCAACGACAACAACAGTAAAACCAACAGTTATTGTAACTCAACCTCCAGCTCCAGTTACACCCGTCCCAATAATGCCCATTTTAAATCGAAGACCCGGAGCCACTGGTCCTGGAAGAGGATTTCGTTACAGAAAACCGCCCAAAAGATACGAATACTATGACGATGAATACGTAGATGAAGAATACGAAGAAAGGAGATATCAAAAAAGGCCTCATTATAGGCGGCCCGTTTATGAAGACGATTACGAAGAGTACGAAGATGAAGTTTATTCGAAAAGAAGACCATCAAGGAGGTAATTAATAAATCCTACTCTTACAATTTGTTAGATTTTCTTATTATTTGATTTTATAGGCGTCCTGACCGCCGAGGACAAAATCGTAGAAACAAAGAAGATAGACGTCGTTACGAAGATGACGAAGATTATGATAGAGATATTGAAGAGAGTCGCGATGATGAAGAAGAAGTTCGCAGACCCAATCGAAAACGAAGACCGAACAAGCGAAGACCCGCAGAAGATGAAGATTATGATAGACACTATGAACGACCACAAAAAAGGACTAGACGACCAATTGATGATGATGATTACGATGACGAAGCACCGAGAAGAAATCGAAAAAAGAATCGAAATAGAGATTCTGACGGCGATAAAGAAATGGAAGATCGACCCAAAAGGAATAAAAGCGACGAGAGACCAAGAAATAATCGGAACGAAGAAAGAAGTCGAAGTAACGACGATAAACCCAAACCAAAACAACCAGAAGTTAAAGTAAAAAGTGATGTGAGTACTGAAGAACCACCATTAACAAAAGCCCCGCTTTCGGTTTATGAAAGAAAAAGACCGCCTAAGATAAGACCTCCGGTTCCTTTAAATGAGCAAAGTAAATACGTACCAAAAACAACTACTTCTTCCCCAATCGAGTACGAATATTATGATGATTATGAAGAAGAAGAGGTTGTAAGGGATACAAAAAAAACTCAAGATAGAAACCAAGATAGAAACCAAGATAGAAATCAAGATAGAAATCAGGATAGAAACCAAGAAAGAAACCAAGATAGGAATCAAGATAAGAACCAAGAAAGAACTCAAAGTAGAAAACCAGAAAGAAAACCTCCAAACAGATCATATTTTAATAAACCAAAATCGTCAGAATATGATGATGAAGAGGTGTATAAGAGACCAACAACAACAAAAAGGCCACAAAACTCTAAAGATAGACGTTTAGGTTCCGGAAGTAGAAGACGACCTGTAATTGAAGAATACGCAGATTATGAAGAAAGTTTAAGCAAATCTACAGAAGAACCAACAACAACCATCAAAGAAATTGTCAAAGATATCGTTCCAGAAACAATTAAAGAAAAACAAGAACCAGTTATTAAAGTTGTAAAGCGTCCATTTTTACCCAGTAGGGGTGGTAATCCTTATTCGGCAAGAGGATTACATCCGATAGGTCTTAAATCTGAAGAAGTTGTCAGCACAAAATTTAACCCACCCCTAAAAGAACAAGAAAATCTTAGACAAGATCAACCGGAAGAAACTCAAAAAGCAAAACCTTTATCAAAATTAAAAACTAAATCTGAAGAGGATTTTAAACCAATCACAAACCGACCGGTGAGTCGTATTAATATAGTTAAAATCACGACGACAACAACAACAACTGAAAAACCGATTGAAAAAAATCCGTTAGATTTAGATGAAAATGAATATGATGTGACGTTGAATGATGCTTTAAATCCAACCATACCTAATTTGCCAATACGTAACTTTCCAACGGGATTTTCCTCGCAAAACGATTACAATTACAATGCCGTACAAAGAAATCGTTATGTAGCAGCTGATCCTACGCTAAATCAAGCCAGTTCGGATTATGTTTATAGAATTGAACCGCTTCAATCTCCAAGATACGTCCCTGTCTATCAAACGTTTAGGCAAACACCCCGACAACAACAAGCATTTTATGCCGGATATTAAAATTTTAAATTAGAAATAAAATACAGTGAAGAATAATTTTAGTTTTTTTTTGGTAAAGAAATTTTATGAAAAAGAGCTATTTGCCATAACGTTTTGAAGGAAATCCATCTTAAGTATGTACGTATTTATATTGAAATCCGCAAAATGTGGATGGTTACTAAGTTATTTTCAAAAAATTTGTAAAGAAACAAAATTTGAAAAGATGTGGTGTCGAAAAGGTTGTGTCATTTGATTTATTATTAATAAGTAATTTAATGATTAAGCGATGAATTCTTTTTGTAATATATGAGGACGTATGATCTTTAGAATAAAGTATATTTATAACTAAAATAATCGTTTAATTAAAGAAACCTATAAAAATCTACAACGTAAATATTCTCCAACTAGAACAGAATACCTTCCTATTTGTTTTAGTCTTCCGTAATATACCATATAAAATACTTAAATGAATACTTTTCTTGGACAGTGTATACAATGTAGGTACTCAGCACCGTTTCCTAGGGTACATCTGACCTTAATCAGTCAAGCTATACTTAAATTAGTCAATATATTTGGGTATTAAGGTCAATTCTCAAATTAACAATCATTTTATCTTTGAAAAAGTATCCAACAGTTTTATCAATCAACTAGTTGCAGAGGCTTCTGTGGACTCCAAGGGCAAAATATGTACACAAATGAATAATACAAAAACTTCCTCAATTAACATAAATGCCAACAGACTAATCGTACTCAAACTATTAAACAAATTAATATCATATAACCAATGATGAACACTGCTTGCACCAACGCTGCTTTATATTAATAAAGATGTTTTTAATTTTTCCTTAAGAATGAAAAGTACAAAAATGTACACAGGCGTTTAAAAAAAATTGTTTTTGAGATATGAAATGGTGCAAAAATGCACCACTGGTAAGATAAACAAACAACACAAAAAAAATTTGATTATCATTTATAACTAAGTAATAAATTAGTCATAAATAAATAATAATAGTAATACAACATAATACTAACAAATACCAACTTTAGTATGAAGTTTAATATAAAAAATAACCATTCACCAATGGGATGAACAGTACAGTGTGTTAATTAATTAAATTATCGTAAGCGACGTCATTATTGCAAGTATGTAAACAATATCACAGTATTCAACACCAAATGTAAATGGCGTATTGCAATACCAATACTGTGATATTGGTTGCATACTTGCAATAATGACGTGGTGTACGATAATTAATTAACACAGTGTATAATCATTTATTGTGATACTTCGCAAAGTACTCTACATGTAAATAACGCTACACTTACTACATACACATATGTATAGCATGTTTATGATATATTTAGCATTTTCTACGAGCTTTAGACTCGTGAGTCTTTATACAATGGTCGTTGGACTATTCAAATTCTAAGTTTGATATAGTATTTCGTTTAGGTTCAGTATTAGGTGTTGCGTTTTCGTAATTCATTAGTCGAACTGCAATATATGATTTAACATCCAATTGTGCCATTTTGGTATTGTTGACAGAATTTTCCATTTCCACGCATTTATTATGACGCTATCCACTGAATTAATAAATAGTGGCCACCACCACTTCTTTCCTAATACTCTTCGTTCTATAGTTGGCTATTCCATTAACGTGTAAATCCACACCACCCATGAATTTATTGTATTCTGATATCGCATAAGGTTGATTAACTAGTGTTTTCTGTTTTTTCTTTCTATTGTACCTTTTAACTGATTGTCAGATGATTACTAATTACAGTGACAACGGAGTTATCATTCCATAGTACTAAAGAAATTTTTGAACTGATATCATAAGCTGCATCAAAAAGTTCCCCTTCTTTCTTTGAAATACTTTTTATGTTTTCTAACTGTAGCAAAAAAACCTTTATTTTTAAATTCAGCAAACAAATCAAACAATGAAAAGAAATTGCCAAAAATTTTTTAAACTTAAAATCGTATAACGTGATTAAGCGCCAATCACGTTAGACGATTTTAAGCCCGATTTGCATCATACGTCTAAGAACCGACTTAGATACAATTTTTATTGCACTAAAACTAGAACTAACACTAGACCTACAACTAGAAAGTTTCGGGTTTAGCCGTAACTCTTCAGAGACGCACTTTTAAGTGAGGCCAAACTTGACGCATTTATCTCAAAAAAACAAAAAGTTCGAACTTTCAACTTTTAATTTTGACATATTTGTCAGCTTCATAAAAAATCCTTTAAAATAAGTCCAAACTCGACATATTTAACTTTAATATTAATGGAAATACAATCACTTCCGGTTTGAAACGTCAACGTAAATTTTGACATATTTGTCATCTTCATTAAAAAACCTTTAAAATGAGTCCAAAGATGACGCACTTATCTCAAAAAATATAAAAGTTAGAATAAAAAACATTAAACCCGAAGTTAGCAACAATGAAGATAGCAATTTAATTTTTAAATATTAATACCAACCTTAATTTTTTGTTTTTTTTTTGTTATATTTTTGTTTTTGTTACAAATATTAAGACATTTTATAAAAAGTAAGAATATGTCAAAATGACATTAACATTTCAAACCGGAAGTTGCTTATATCTCGAGTAATATTGGAATTAAACGTATCATGTTTGGACTCATTTTAAAGGATTTTTCACGACGATTACAAATATGTCAAAATTGACGTTGACATTCTCATCCGGAACTTGACCATAACTTCATTAATATTGAAGTTAAATATGTCGTGTTTGTACTCATTTTAAAGGATTTTTAATAAATATTACAAATATGTCAAAATTGAGGTTGACATTTTAAACCTGAAGTTATTATCATATAACAGAATTTTTATAACTGAAGTTAATCTAGTGTTAGTCACTTTTCCGCTTTCTTTTTATTTTTAACGTGTTTTTTGGGTACATGATGATTCTTGAACTTTTCCCAAGTTTCTTAAAAAAGAGCGTTCTTAAATTTTAACCTGTAAACTTGTAACAATTCGTCCTTAATTTCATTTTACAACTTTTAAAACTTTAATTTTGTAAGTTAATAACTAATAATCTAATTTCGAGTTTGATATGTGATCTTTTTTAACAAAACAAAAAGAAATATTACGATACTTGTTTGTAAAATGGATAAGATGAGAAGATGGACAAGGGCCGAAACTAGTTAGACTTAAATTCTGTATAAAATAAAAACCAGTTTAAAAGTACAAAATCAAACTCTAGATTGTTTTCTTCAAACATTTTTACACGATTCGTCATCATTTTGTCTCTAGTTTTAGTGATTAAATTTATGGCACGACTTACAGAAACACCCTGTATGTCCTCTGTGCTTGTGATAGCTATCATCAGTGTTCTGTGATAAAAATGGACACAATTTTCAATAGTTTGAACCTGTCTATTCTGAAGAGTCTTATATTTTTAGAGAGATGAAAACGAAAATGCTTAGTGCATTTGTTACTTAATCAAGTGATGCATAACGCGGTCCAATTAATCCCTTTCTTCAATGACTAAATAAGATTATTTTGTGTTTTTCTACCAAGTTGACTATAATAAATAAATTTTTTAATATTCTTTTAAATTATCATTTTATTACTGTGAAGACAAAAATTCTATCAAAAAAAAAACTCCTCATAATAATTAACTATCATCAGAAATATAACACAAACTATCTAAAGATTTCGTAATTGAATTTATCAACGATTTCTTTTCACCTTTCCTTTTCTTCCGTTCCTCTTTCGTTTCCTTACCAAGTTTAACTTTTTTCTTTTTCTTTCTAACGTTTCCCTCCGAATATTCGCCATCAGCCAATTTTCTTTTAGCACAAAGAACGGTGTTTTCAATTCCTTTCGAATCGGAAACAACTTCTTCATCTTCAAGTTGAAGCCTGCGTAAGAATCGATGTGTAGCGCGATTTTTCTTTTTCAATCGATGTTCCGCCTTGGAAAGTTTCTCTTCTACACATTGAGGTTCTTCAAAACTATTTTGATCTTCAATTGTATTGTTAAACGCATCTAAATCCTGCTCAATCCCTTCATCGTTTAAATTTTGCTCTGAACACGCAATAAATGAATTGTCATTACTATCACTACTTAAACGACTTGACTCTAAGTCCGGTGCAAGATACTCAGTAACGGTTACTGTTTCGTTGAACGAAACGTTTTTCCGCTCTTTCTTTTTCTTTTTTTCTTTGTGTTTCTTTTTTGTGGAAGCAGTCGATGTTTTTGAGTGATCTTCTAGATTTAAAATGGTGGGATTATCGTCGGTGCATTTTTTATTTTTAAGTAGTTTCTTCATTTTCTTTTCAATTTCACACTTTTCGTCATTTAATGAAACGTTTTGGAATTTCTTTAATAACATTTGTTCGTGCTTTGCTAATCTATCTAATTTGCCGCTTAGTTTTAAACCATGTCTAGCACCTCTAAAAATTTTATTTATAATTAATTTGACTTTATTTAATTTGTTTATCTGATGACATCGAAAAATGTCATGATTTTTGACGTTTTTATACAAATTTTTATAAAAATCATAACTAATACTTTAATTTATAATCAAAATTAGAACTCACTTATGTGCTGTACGTCCTGCGCATGCTGCAAATAATTCTTCATCACTTAAAACATTTATCTTTGGTTTGTCGACACATAAATGTTCAGGAACATCATATTTCTTGGTTCCTGATGCATTTATTTGAGCAGTTTTAATAAATGAACCATATTCGAGTGAAACATTGTTGTTTTTTAAAATTTTTGTGTATCCTTTCGTTGAGATATCTATAGATTCATCCCCTTTCATACCAATTTGAACATCATTACTATCATTAGTGACCTAAAAAGTACCAAAAAATAATGTGTGTATATACAAGTTTTTAATGATATATTTACCTCTATGTTATCTGAAGCACTTTTATAAACATTTGTCCACCAATCATTGACTAAATCTTTTGCATGACTATGACCAATTCCAGCATTATCAAATTTCAATTTGGGTTTTAATGGAGTTGAAATACCGTTGTTGGATTTTCCTAATCCTTGACCTTATAAATAACAGAATAAATATCATATTAAAAGGTAACCTAACCTCAAATTATAATCTTACAAGAATGACAATTTGCATTTATATTAAGTTACACAAAACTAAAGCTTTGTAATCGTTAAAAAGATATTTACCTTCAGTCCAGCCGTATTTCTCTAGCTGTTTTTTAGCAAAATCCATTTTACTTATGTATAATTTAGCTCTAGGTATTTGCAACACAACAAAATTATTCGCGATAAATCATGAATATTCCGAAGCTTTAGAAACTCAAAACAATTAGAAAATATTTTGTAAAACCTTCTTCGTGTAAATTCTAGTTGAATAAGTCTTGAATATGCTTTAATTGTGTTTTGGGTAGTGAGGTTACTGAGCCCGCCATACAATAACATCATACAGGTCAGGCTTCAGGATAATCATCACTTTTAAAACTGCTTATTCTTTATTTTAGTTACTCATCATGCATTAGAAGTTGTTTACGAAGCTTTTCATTTTGCTATAGTACTTCTATTTAATTTAAAGCGAACAAAATAAATCTAATTCAGGGTGCAGCTCAATGTCATGTCAAATCCTAAATAGTGTTTGTTCTTATTAATTTTGCAATTCAAATAAAAATTAAATGATTGTTAAAGTTATCAATCACAATCTGAAAAAAAAGTAAATGATGAAAAGTAAATGATATTTACATATAGTTCATTTTTTTTCTATAATACCTGCCAAATTGTTGTGAAGTTAGCAAATTAACAGGGAGTTTTGTTTTATCATGTTTTGAAATAAATATGTCACACTGACGATTGAGCTTTTGTTATTCAAAAAGTTAACTTAGCTATAGTTTCAAGTCTCTATTGTACCCAAGGTCCGTTAAGTAAACATACTGTATCAGATTATCCAACTCCATATGAACGCTGTTGTTATGAACGTATCCTCTGCAAAGGCCTTGCTGTGACGTCATTGGAAGAATTTACATTTCTAAGTTTTTATTTATACAGTGTATTTCACTCAAGAAGCAATACACAAAAATATATTTAAAAAAGATATAAAATAAAATAAAAAAAATATTAAAATATAAAGCGAAATATTAACGGTTATAATTTTATTATTATTAGGTTATCCAACTTGACTCGGTTACCATGGTGATTAAGATCCAAATATTGCAGGTACTTGTCAAAAATGAAATTGAATTTAAGTTTTTTTAAGGAAAAAGTCTTATTTAATTGGTTTAAAAGGCTGTATTTAACTCAAAATTGGTTTATCTAGGGAATTATAAATAAGGTAAGTGGATTAAATCAAAAAAAAATTTTAATTTATTTCTCTTAATTAGAATTGATTTAAATTAATTACAATTAACGAATTTGTTATGAATTTGTTATTAATTTTGAATGCGAGATAATCGTAAAGAATTCGAATTGTTTTAAAATTAATAAAAGTTAGGTTAGAATTGATAAAAAAATCGGAATAAAATTTTATTATTTTAAGGTTATCCAACTTGACTCGGTTAGCATGGTGATTAAGACCCAAATATTGCAGTTGCTTGTCAAAATTGACGTTGAATTTTGAAGTTTTTTAATGAAAAACAATTAATTGGATTTAAAGGTTGTATTTAATTAAAAATGGGTAAATGGATGAAATTATAAGCAAAGTAAGTGGATTAAGTCAAAGAAAATATTTTTAGATCAATTAAAATGTACAAGAGTTAAATAACAATTAAAACTAGAACTAACACTAGACCTAGAACTAGAAAGTTTTAGGTTTAGCCGGTCGTCTCTAAAGACGGCTAGACGACCAAGTATCCCGTTAAGGTTGTCATAACAACGATGCTTATAGAAAATAAGAAATTATATATGGCGTATTAAATCTTCATTAAATTTGCTTTAAAATGTTCTTTATTTCATGATGATATCTCAATTCGTTCTTGAGATACGATTTTTTTTAAATTTATATTTCATGGCACAATAAATAAGGGATGATGCATAATCCAACGTCTTGGCTGCTTCGTTTTAATAATTTTTTGGGCACCTGATTCTTTTGCAGGAAGTGTTAAACTTTGAAATTCGATTAGTGCGTTTTATTTTAGTAAAATGACGTAAGTTTTATTTGAAATGTGGGCGTGATCAGAACCTCGAAAGGAGGTAGTGGTGGGGATAAAATGTGATTTCGGACCCCTATGTTAAATCTTATGGAATTTTGGTCCTGAAGTCACATAGCTATACTACTGTTGATGAAGTAAAGATGGCACGGAAGAGAGGGGAGGATGTTTATTTGAGGTCCTATGCTCCAGATAGAGGATTTAATATTATTCTGCTCCTCACTTGAAAATGTGCCAATACATTTTTAAGTATTCTACCTCAACAACCTCAGGAGACATCCTCAGTTGAAACTGTTGTTGCCAGAAGTCTTTAAAATAATATTAATTATCTTATAAACAAACACATGATGTTATTTACTGCTGTTTTGGTGTATTTGATCTAGCACTGTTGGAATTCATACTTGTGAAAGGCTTGATTTTTGAAACGGAGTTTTGAAGTTTAGATGTTTGTCTAATGTATAACTATTGGAAAAGTGGTCATTGATAGGCAGTAGAGGAATGCTGTTTACCAACATTTTGGTTTTAAACTGAACATTCACATGTACACAGAAGACTTAACGAATGTTGAAAGGCTCTTCGGAAACTCATATCATTATATTAATTCTTGCCTGTCCTCACATTAAGAAAACCGCGACAAGACGCTAATAATACAAATCTGGTTGTTCAACCAAAGTCTTCGGTTGTTGATAACCTAAATAGATTGCCATTTGTCATTTTGTCAAATAATTCACATTTTCTTTTAGAATACTGAAGAGTACTCTCGGTCGCTATCAAAATAACATCCATATCATTCTCCACAACGCTGATAGTAACAGCTATGCGGTGGATATATTTATTGCCGTCAGCATGGTTAACATAACCATCAAGTGAACTCATTCTCCAGCAGTTGCTCGACAATTGCTCCTCGATAATTACAACTCAATCTAATGGCAGAATTATTCGCAATACGTTGGACTACAATGTTTCACTGATCTCGTAATGGCCACACTGCATCAGGTAAAGTATACGTAACACCATTGTAGCCATCTGTTCATACTGTTTCAGATAGGCGTATATTATGCAAAGATAAAACGAGCTTTCTAGGGAATCATAGTCAGTTGCAAACATTAATTAGTTAATAATAGTTTTATTAAACTGTGCTAATGTTTAATTTTATGCTGGATTTTGAACACCTATGAAATCGGTACTAACCAGGATAAAAATACAAGCAACAATTATTTCTACATAAATACTAAATAAATGTATAAGCATACTCGCATATTAAACTTTCCACATTGCATTAGCAAATATTAGTCTGCCAATTCTTTTTTAAAAACTTGGCAAGTTCTGGATTAATGACTCCATTCAGGATTCGGCAGAACAACTACCGCTACAGTTGCACAGAGTAACAAAACCTTGTAGGAGTGTCACTCGTGCATAATTTTGTGTAATGTAATACGTCGCTCATAACCTTTTTAGCACGATTGAGTGAAGACTTGTATTACATTTTATGAGTATTACTGTGTAATAGGAAATGATGATATGTTTTTTGAATTGAATGTATTTTTATGAATCCATCGACTTCGTTCATATCTATAGTTGTACTAACAAGATATTCTGGATCAATGACTCCATTCAGGATTAGGCAGAACAAGTACCGCCACAGTTGCACGGACAAAAAAATTCTTGTAAGAGTTTCACTCGTGCATAATTTTGTATAACCATGCTTTACCGTGCAATGGATCTTCACCGATATTAACATACAAAAATTAATATTCACAGAGTGATATGTCGCTCATAACCTTTTTGGCACGATTAAGTGAAGACTTGTATTATATTGTTGAAATTGGATGCATTTTTAATTTTGAATTTTCACATAATAAAATTCAACATTGAGGTAAATGATAACATTTTTTGCAATTAGACGATTGGGCCAACTTGACTAAATCATCGACATCGTTCATATCTATACTTGTTCTAGGATGAGATATTACAAAACTACTAAAACTGCATTTCGGCCAATCAATTTTTTTAGGACGTTGCTCCATTTCATATCCATGAAAAGTACACGGTTTTATATTAACAGCCTTTGCTAACATTCCTATAATAACACTTGATTAATTTATTTTTAATTAATTGAACGATTTTTACCTGTAATAAAAACGTCTTCTAGGACATAAAGCATTTCTTCAAATGATTTTTGATAAAGCAAATTTGCTACGTCCATCGACATTACGTATCCTGCCCCTGAAAGATAATTGGGATAGTGTTTCTTTTTGTAGATATTTTTAGGGATGTACCTTAAAATATTAAAAATTAATCAATAATTTGAAGTTAGAGGAGAAAAGGTACCATTTATCTATCGTATTCGTTCGCCTAGGTGAATTTTTATAAAGTACCCCAACCAGTACTCTTTTTGGTTCTCGCTTCATTAAAACCCATTCCAAATAATTTACGTTAATATAACTATCGTCGTCAGTTTTTACAAGATATGTAACATTTTGCTTACAAAACGTGGTTACTAATTTTAACATCACGATAGATTTAAGTGTTAAATTGTACTTTGTGTCTTCAAAGTCAACTTGAATAATATCTTGGTAGAAGTACGATTCTTTTAATATCAATTCCTACATTTTGAGTTTACATAATTATTAAAAACATGAAATTAAGATTAACCTGAATTTTTAAATTATCATTTCCTAGAAGAAAATATTTTTGTGCTTTTCGTTCCGAACGCAAGTTACCCCATGTTTCTCTTATGGTATCTCTACGAAGATTATTTTTGGTAGCCGATGCTATTATAATTAATAAATTTGACGATTTACGACAAAAATTTTTTGGGAGTATCAAAGTTTTAAAAGTATCTAAATTAAAACACTTGACATCGTCGGAAAAATTAGGATTTACTTGAGGGGCTAAAAGAAATAAATTAATTTAAACAAAACGGTTAATCATATCTTAATAACTTGGTAAATTGCATATTGTCTTTGTGCAATTCAAGTTTACGTCCGTTAATTTTTTGTGAACCATCATTATATCATTTGGTGTCATGTTTTGTGAAATAACAATTTTTTTAAGAATGCAAGGATTTATTTTGTTCTCAATATATGTAAACATAGGAAAATCAGTTCTGTTTATCGATAATTTTTCCGCTAAATAACCTAGAAACAAAAAATAATTAAAAAAATGTAGTATGAATACATAAATAAGTATTAACCAGTAATATAAACATCTTCAATTTCAAAATAAGGTGTTGTTGCAGCGGTTTTAAACAACTTTATAGCCGTATCAAGAGACATTAACCATAGGGAAGATAATAAGTATCTTGGATAGTATTTGTCGCTAAAGTATATTAATTATTAAATACATTAATTTTATTTAATGTTAGAAATTGTCTTTACCTACACTTTTCTGTACATTTCGTTGCGATTTCTTCTACCTGTAAATTTCCAGCTAGAAATAAATGTGGGAGTTTAGGCAAAATGTTCCATATAGGTTCCAAATTTATATAAACACTGTCAATAGTTTTCAAAATAAATTCAGTACAATTTTGATAATAGAGATAAATCACTTTTAACATCAGAAGAGATTTTGTTGTAGCATCTGATTCTGTACAATTCACTTGAACAATGTCGTTATACTCATAATATTCATCGTTGAGTTTACTCTAAAAAGAGACAAAAAATAATTAAATAACTGAATATAATCGATCATTACTTGAATGTCTTCATTATTTGTAATTCCCACAAAAAATCTCTTACAAACAGTGTTATTTTTTACTCTGTCATAAGATCCCCATGATTCTCTAATTGCTTCGCGATGTTCAAAATGATCCGGATGTGAAAAAATAAAGATTAAAAGGTTACAACACAAAATCGGTGAGGATGAATTAGGTAATAATAATGTTGTGTTTTCTTCAAGTTTCAAATCTTTTGCAGGTGGAATTGTTGATTTAAACTTCCAAATTTTTACTTTTACATATTCGTTATCACAAGATTTTCCGTCTTTAAATAATCAAATGCATAAATAACATCTAAAATAAAATTAAATTATTACAAATTAGTCGAGCACTTACAGGAAGATGAAACTAAAATGAGCAAAGAGATTATTATGGTAAATCTCATATTTAAACTGAATTTCTTTAATTAAATTTATAAGGGGAAATAATAAAAGTTAAAGGTTATAACGTGAATAAATTCATGACAATTTATGTCAAAAAAAATAGAAACTACGGTGTGTAGTAATTGTTATAGGTTATTGACATAGAGTGGCAAAAGGAGTTGTCTTTTCTGTCATTTATACAAAATTGTGTACAGATTTTTTTAAATTCTTTTTCCAAAACAGTTCCTCGAAGTTTAGCAATCGTAGATTCAATATTCATCGTTCAATATTGATAGAACTATTAAAACTCTAGGTTAACGATGAAGCTATATTTTATTAAAATTTATTTCGGTGCAACAAGTTTCGGAATAACTTATTCCGTCATCAGGCACGACTGAAAGTACATTGTGTAATTTAATTAACTAATTAAACGGAAAATATACAATTAAGTTACCGTCAAATCAAAAGAGTTGGAATTAATTAGTACCTGATGAAGGATATGTAATTTGGTAACTATCCGGTTTTCGACCGGATTTTAAAAAATAGCCGGATATCCGTTCCACCACTACTAGATGTCAAAAGATTCGACACCTTGTCGATAATTCATATCATACGCCACTAATGAAAGATTAAATTCTCAGACACCTAATATGATAATAAAATGTGATACAAAATTGTTCCAAAAACTTTTCGAAATAGTTTCAATTTGTTTTTATTGTTTTTCGGTTTGTCAACATGACGCATACATTCATAAAATGTTTATTATTCTTTTCATTCATGTTTTAACCATCAGATTTTGATATCATATTAAAATCAATAATAATAGCAATGATAATTAGACGTAAATTGAAAAAAAATTTCCCAATATGTTTGACAATGTGTAAAGATTAAATTGATGTTTAGTTGATGTACATATAATATCAACAAAAAATTAACATAATTAAATTAAATGTGAAGATATGAATGAACCAAGAAAATACGTTTATATATTTTCAAAGTGCTACCTAGTGTTGAGAAGCTAATATAAGATCTTCCAAAAAATAAAGCTACCATCTATGTTTTAGAATCAAAACTAAAAATATTCAGCAACCGAAAGGAATTTTTAACACGGGCTGAAACTCCCATTAAATTTTTTGTCGACTCCTGAAAACAAGATGTCATCAAATTTCTTTTACTGGTAAAATGTAAGGATTAAATTTCCCGATGATCGCAGTGTCGCATAGTGTTAGCCGAAGTACTACCACTACCGCAAGACAATGAGTATCTTACAAAAAAATACCGTTCTAGTCAGTCATTTAACAAAAGTCCATTGAAAGTTCGCGCCGGAATTTCATTAACGGTCAAACGCAACAATGTAATAAGTAAATAATCTGTGTTTGTTTTATTTTACATAATTATAAAAGAATATGTTCGGATTCTTGGATCCGACAATCTCATATCACAACGACGACTCTTCTCAGATGATTACGATGAATCTCAATTTTTCTTTTTATATCGCGATGCCGTTTTAAATAATTAGTCATTTTAAACTGTAAACGAGAAAGAACGAGAAGCTAAACTAAAGACAAAAAACTATGAAGAAAAAAGCCAAACCATTTATGATATTAGGTTTGATTGCAATTGTTGGTTATTTTGGTTGGTTTTGTTGGGTTGTTAATAATCATAGATATGATTTAGGTAAGTTTTTTTTAACAAGTTACTTAATTAACTTTACACTTTGTTAGAGTTTCTAAAAACATTCATTTTTATTATGTAACTTTTTCTATTGCGTGTACCATTAATCATTTCAAATTCCTGCAAAAAAGTAAATAATTCATTTTAAAATTGTTTATTTTACCTTTCTGCCTAGATAATCTTAACAAAATATTTGTGTTAACACCTGATTTACTTCTTGTAGGACTACATAATACACAAATGATTTGTTTGTTGAAGATAATATAAATAAAAAAAGAAAGTTATTTTATTGTTGGATTTGGTGAAAGAACAAGGTTATTTATAGCAGTTTACCTTGTATATAGTGTAGTATTTCATTTTGTGCACAAAGTATTTTAAAATTGTTACACAACGATTTTATTAATTTCATTTTAATTAATACAATATGATTGGAATTTCATATAGATTATTTTTGCATTAATTGTACAACGAATCAATCCACCACATTACTATAAATTACGATCTTAAAAATAAATAACAAAAATGACGTCAAAATAACTCCTATATGTTTGCCATTTTTATCAACACTAAATACTTGTTACACTTTTAACATATTTACGGCTTTTCTTACGTAAGAGGTCTCGAGACCTCTAGAGATATTCTACTTTTTTAATTGTTGTAAAAGATTGGGAAAGCAAACTAAAAACAAAAATTTTTCTCATGAAAATAATATGTGTCAAGCAACAAGTTTATTGAAATAATCTGTAGAGAACAACACGTTTAGATTTGTATAGTATAAAACCACAATTTGATAAGCGAACTTTAATACATCACGAATTTATTTATAGAATTCATGAACCTGTTTTTTTAATCGTATTCAGAACTTAATTTGGCATCAATACCACACATCATCGATATCAACCATTCCCCTAGACGTTCAATGTTATTGCACTTTTTTGATCTCAATTAAAACCATAAATAATCAATATTGTTGGAAGAATTTGACCTAAGAAGCTCGCAGGATGTTCGACGATGTTATTACAGGTTTTACCATGTCAACATTGATAAATTTAAACTTGTCGCATGTTGCAATTAATCATCGATCGGCCTTGTATGTTGTGTTTATTTATTATATTTACTTTAATCTGACTGTAATGGTGATCATAACTAACGTTGAGTTAAAGTCTAAGCTGCCGTGGCATAGACTGAGAAAGTTAAATTAAATTATAAAGTTAAATGTGTGTTAATTTCCCATGTATTAACGTGTGTAAGCATAAATACTTGGTGATTCGTGAAAACGCCAGGACGTAACGTTTTTTAACAGCGAAATACGAGACATGGTTTCATGTTTTGCTCAAATAAATGTTTTCCAAATATTTACAATCGTCTTTAAATAAAGATACACGATTAAGATATTGTATGTTTATTTATAATTATGAAAAACTTTTAGATATAACATTATTTTCGCATATAATGGTGAAACATACAGATATAACATTTCGATGAAATTGTGAAAAATCGGAAATGATAGTTTACCTGAACACTCTTCTTTAAGTGCAAGTTAAATAAAGATAAACGAATCATGTTTCATCACAAAACTATTCAAAATAGAAAAGGCAGTGATGATACCAGTGGAGAACTTAATCACCTGACTAAGGTAAAATTCTTTTAAAGGCAAAAAAATTTTGCCAAAATCTTTTTCGCTCTCTTCTCCATCTCACAAAATCCTAAACCCTGTGTTGGCCTTTGATATTTGACATCTTAATTCTGTCCCATATGGTCTTTCCTGAGATTGACATTAGAGTCTTCATATCTGCTATTCTTAACATGTTCAAATTTTGTTAATTTTGTAACCTTACAAAAATGCAAAGTATTTTTCATTCTAAATATAGTGCATTGTATCATTAGCCTTGTCTTTCTGAGAAAAATATACAGATAAATCTCGAATTAGAGAAAGTAATGAGTCATCAAACCGTAACAGGTAAAATCTCAGGTAGAAACTGCACTTAAATTTCGGATTATTACGACCTGGTAATCGCCGAGTGTTATAGTTAAGAGGTTACAAGGAAATTTGTTGAATTCATTCTATGACAATAATAATTATCAATTATGTTAGGAGTAAAGCAAATAATATTCAAAGTTTTATTTTAACGTCTTCAACTTGTGCATGAAATAAATGAATTATTTTTAAACAATTAAACAACAAACAGAATTAAATTTTTATTACAAAAAGTTTAAGAAGCAACACCTACATTCACATAAATTATTAAAGGATAATTTACAATGTTATAAAAAAAATAATTAATGAGGCTTAAATTAAAGAAAAAAGCTAAATGTTTAAAAAAGTCTTGTTTCATATAATCATTTCTATCTTTGTAAATTGTTGGTTGTTAAATTTGTAAAAAATAATCGATTAGCGATTTCTTTGTAAGGTCAAACAGTAGCAGCAAAATTTGTTTGTCAGGTCAAATATTAGACCTTGACGAAACTTATTTCAACTTAAAATATTTATTGTTGTTTGCTGTTGTTAAAAATTAATTAGTTACATTTTCGTTAAAAATTTGGTAAGATTAATAAAAAATTCAATCCTTGACCTAACTAAAAAATTTATCAAATCGAATGTAGATGTTGATAAAATAAATAATTTTAAACACATCGATGCACACCTGGTGATTATTATAGGTCCTGTTGATGGTTGGGAAAATAATAGATCCAGAGACGTCAGCTTGTATATACAACCGGATAATTTGACCTCGATCCTGTTGCCGGGGAAATTTTGCAAAAATAAGACAGACCTATTGATTATGATCACGTCCACGCCCACCAACTTCGACGAACGAAACGTGATCAGGGAAACATGGGCTTCAGACAAAATCATACAAAATTTCAATGTGGATTATTATTTTATGTTGGGTGAAGTTACCAATGATACATTACAAGTAAACAATGTTTAATTGTCTTTGAATCTTAATCATTAACTAAAACTACATTTTTTTCTTTAGGATCAGTTAACGCACGAGTATAACGAACATAATGATATAATCCAGGAACAGTTCCTAGACACCTACAACAATTTAACGTTAAAATCTCTAATGACTTTAAAGGTTGTTACAAAACATTGCACGAACAGTGTTAAATACATTATGAAGACTGACGACGATATGTTCGTGAATGTACCGCTTTTAATAAAATATTTGAAACGGAGGAGGGGTAAAAGTGATCTCTTTGGATCTCTGATACAAAAAGCTCCGCCAGTAAGACAAACATCAAGCAAATGGTAAGTTTATTTTAAATATAAGTTAATATTATTTTCATTTCAAATTTTGCTGCCAATAAATAATGTTATGAAATATATTTAATGTAAAACCACCATGTTAAAATATCATTAATTGTTAATGATAACTCGAAAAGAAACTTTTATGACTCAACGACAATATCATTTTATTTTAAATTCAAATTTGAATTAGTCACTGTTATTTAACTAGTGTTATCAGCGTAAACTGGGTCTCAAATTTGTATGTAAGATTTTATTTCCGTGTTTACTTAAACGAAAATAAACGTAGTATATTTATACAATTTTTTAAATTGCCGGTCGTAAATGTGTATCATTACTTATTTTTCACATTTACATTGTGAATTTTAACGGGTTTCCTTGTTCGTATGTTTATTTATGTGTATTTACTATATAATAATATGCATAAATAAACCAAAACTAGTATTGCCTATTAAATATTAACTTATACCGGAAGTAAAGAGTTTTATCAAAATTAACTGATTAAAGTTCAAACATTCTTGATTAATTTTAGATTTAGATATATTCGAAAATGTATAATATATTCGAATTTTTTAAGATATTACACTCTTAGAAATCTTTTTCATTCCGGTGTTTTTCTCCTAACTAAATGTGTCCAATATTCATAATATGCATTTTTTGCATCGCCCAGTTATGTATTCAATTTTGTAAAGCAGGCAACCATCAATACGATCGTGTATAGTTTAGTATATACATTTAAACCTGCTTCCTGCAGTAAATGATGTTGAATTTGATAGTGAGAAATGATATACCAACTTTAAATTTTTCAAAAATGGACATGCCTTGTTATTGCTAATTGTTGTCAAGTAGATAATCACCAATTCGACCATGTACAGCTTAATATCTACATTTAGCTGCTTGCTACAGCGGATGATGCAAAATTTCATTCCGAGCAAGAAAATACCAATAACTTTAAATCTGTCAAAAATGGATTTGCCTTGTTATTGTACCTTGGAAGGATATGGTTGAATATTTGATTTGTTTATTGTAATCGGACTTGCAATTATCCCAAACAAATTCATGATGGAGCAATATGATAGGAACCTGTACGTTTTTGAACCCAGACCCAATGGTCTGGGTTTCTTGTTCCCGATAAGGTTTGCTTCTGAAATACCTCCTGAGAAAATGACACCCAGCTGTCTCTCCATCTCCTCATCTCATCAAGGTCTGGTTCCGGGCGAGTTATTTGTAAGGACAATTTGTAGATCTTTGTCATTGGACTTCTTCATTTCGTCCCATATGGTATTTGCTGAGGTTGACCTTAGACTCTTCAGTACGCTTTTTGCTGAATTTTGAATCTTTATGCAAATATGTATTTGAATTACCTTCAAACTGATATCCAATATTTTTCTGAAAATGCAACCTAACCTTCATTGCAATCAAATATTTAATCCTAGACCTTTAAAACATATTGATAAGAATGGATTGGTGGTCTATTATAGGAGCAACCCTAAATCTTGTGTGATAATTGTTTCATTTGATGACTGATTCTTAAGGGTTGACACAAAAATAAGTGAAAATTTTTGAGCAAACAATTGTCAGGAAGATCTTGACTAACTCTGACTCAACTAGTTGTTGAGATGTTGTATCCAAAAGGTGCAAAAACGTAGTCTTGAAGTAATCGGGTTTAAAGATTCGAGTAATAAAAATTGATTCTTTTCAATTTCTCATGATTTATCGTCTAATCTGGAATGAAAAATCTGAAAATGAACTTTTCATGATATCTTTTCTTTCCCTGTTTTGTCAGGACACAGATTCGTTGTGTCGTTTCTGCAGATTATTTCGATGTTCGTCCATTTTTTGTACGTATATTTTGACTCCTTGCCCAATAACAATATCTTATGAATTCATTATTTCTAAAATGAGACTATGTTCTTTATTAAACAAACTACCCTCAATATATATTATGCAGAAATTTCGGTTGTAATGTAGCTCAAAAATCTTATTAGTAAGTTGTCTGGGGATAGTTTTTCATAACCTTTTAATTTTGGCTATATTTGTAGTACGTACGATTAAGTTTTACAGAACTCTGCGTGACCATAAAGTGTTATTTTTATGGAATTTGCCATGTCATAAAAACATTTTATTTTCTAAATAGTATATTATGAATTGATTGTATTTGCTTTGTATATTTTATTTTTAGGAAAGCCCCGTATTATCTCTATGATAAAGATGCATATCCAGATTATCTCTCTGGAACAGGATATGTGATGTCTTTAGATGTAGTTCAAAAACTGTACAAAACGTCTTTCGACACACCTATTTATTATTTAGAAGACGTATATATTACCGGTAAGGAACAAAACCATTTTTCATTTATAAGCTTGAATACAATTTTGTTCTATCTTTTGTTTAAAGGTATGTTACCGGTGAATGCCAAGCTCAAACCAAAGAATCATCCAGGGTTTTCATATCTCAAACGGGAAATGGACATGTGCATCTATTTGACGGCAATTACGGCTCACCATGTGAACGAAACGGAAATGCGATTATTGTATGATCTACTCAGGAGGACGAATTTGCAAAAGGATTGCAAGAAAAAACCGCAGAACAAACGTAATTTTTTCACATTCCTAGGGCTTCAATTATTTTTCTAACCACCCATAAAAAAGATTTTTCTACGTTGTATTTTAAAAGTCGGTTTTTTTCATTTTCGAAGTATATTTTAAAAAACATCCTTATTCCCAGATTTCAAAAGTAATTGAATCATTCAGTATTTTTCTTAAATAATAAATGATTCAATTATTTCGCACTTTATAGCATAATTGTGAATCTTTTATTTTTGACAAATCAAATTTTAATACTATTTATTTTTCACTTTATGTGTACAAAGTGCGAAACATATCGATTTTAACATTATTTGTACTCGTTATGTACCTAATATATCCTTCTCAACATTTCCTATTAGTTTTCTTTACGTTTCTACTCACTATGTTAGTAAAGGTGACTTAAAAAAGTTATAATCAACTTAATAATAATAAAGTTGCAAAAAGCTATGTTTATTTCAAGAGAAAACTTATTACACTAACGATAAGAGTGGCTCAGAAAAAATGTGAGTTTTCTTTCCGTGATAAACAATTAGCTATTTAAAAAAAACCTTTTAGATAAACTAATCGTACTTATTTGTTTCTTCATAACGTTTTTTAACCTATCATTTTTAATAATTAATTATTAGTTTTACGTTTGATTTTCGTATTTTCACAAAATACTTGTTTTATTATAATCATTATGAATAATGAAATATCTTTCGTGTTATTTGTAAGAATTTTCTTTAAGGACTTATGTGATATTTCTTTATGTTTTGACGAAACGCTTAGTAGATATATCGCCTGCACCATCAGCATACTCATTTTATAATTATCATCATTGTGTGACGCTTTAGTGCGAAGTTCGGATTCTAAACGATTCAAATCTGAAACGCTTATTAAATTGTAGGACAGAAAACTCCACAACGTGCCATCAGACGTGTTTTCTGAAAAAAAGGTGTTTTTCAGGAAGAGCGGAGCACTTAGCCTTCTTTACATTCAGATATTGATTTTTTTTAATATATTATATTCTTTATTTTTCGTTAGTACTAAATAAAATATATAAAAGGTTCTTAAAATGATCAACATGGTAATTTAACGCGTTTTAAATTTGTTAATCTAGACTTATTTTTTAGTAAATTATTTTAAAAACAAACTATTTAGTGTATGTGTCCATATTTTTATGTTCAAATGAAGATTTTAAAATAATAAATTATTTTTATTAGAATGTTTTTTTCTTTTAGACAAAAATAATAAACAAAAAATTGTTTTGTATATTTTATATTTACATTTTTACTAAATAAACAACAACAATACTAAAGTCTCCAGAATCAATTTTAAAATTCTAAAAGACTTGGTAATATTTTTCTACCACATCCAGTGGACACGAGAACCATATTTCGCTGGTGGTTTTTCAACATTTTCAGGTAGAAACTGAGGTGCATCTGCATAAACCGCTGGAGGTTCAACTTCCGGTTTAGGTCTTTCAGTATGATGAACTTGCACCCTAGCAAATTGATCGTAAGGGGGTCTTTCCATTCCCAATTGATCTTTCATGCATTTATCAAACACCCCCTGCGTTTTGCGACATCTAAAAAAAACTGCCTCAAAACAAGAATTCCAATACAAATAAAAACAACTATTTACGGAGCAAATAACTGGTATGAACTTGATTTGTCTATACAATTAACATATTGCATAAACTCATCAGCACAAGAACTCTTAACTTTTCGGAAGAAATTTAGAGCACAGTTGGTTACGGCTTTTCCTTCAGCAATACACTTACGGGGATCATTCGTTTCATTACGACATAACATAAATTCCTGTTAAAAAATGGATTTGTTTGATTTTAAGTGACCGTATTAGATAATTAACCTCACATTATTTTCATGGAGACAGTCGTTTCCTAAGTGGTGAGCTCCAGCTTTTAAAACTGGACCAGAAACGTTTACTTCTTGAACTGTTAGTTCTTCTTCCGTGGGTAAATAGGTTTGTTCGGTAATACCCATATTTTAAATACTATTTTTTTATTAAAATTTCTTAAAATTGGTATAAACGTCAAAAGTAGACAGCAGACGGTTACGCCATCTAGTGAGTGTTTTGTATTAAAAATGTATACATTTGATAAGATGTACTAATAAAAATTTTTGATTTAATAATAATTTCAGTTAATAAATAATCAGTAAGTTATAAGCTAAATTAACCGATTATATATAAATTATAAATATTGAAGTAATATTATATTTTAACATTTATCCACAATTCTTTATCTATAGTTATAGCATTCAAGAATAGATGGCGCATTAACTTGAGCAATTTAAATTGTTGTTATGTAATTTTATAATATAAAATTAAGATTAAGTTAACTGGAAAGAATTTGAAAAATTTAAAGTAAATTTATGTTTTGAATCGTTTAGTTAACTTACATTATTTAGGATATAAGTAAAACTATATATAAACTATATTCACGTATAGATGGCGCTAAACTTATTTTAACTTTTATAATCAAAACATTAATTTATAATAAAGTTGATTAATTATATTGGTAAATTATTTGAAATTCATGATGAGTTTATGGATTTAATCAATATATTATTCTTAGAGTTTTGGTGTAAAGATTTATAATTGTAAATGTAGACTTGTCAAACTGACAATTAGTGACAACTGACAGGGAATTTGAAAATGTAAGGTTAGTTTTCTTTTTTAAATATATTTCTCTTATTTATAACACTGTCTGTTAAACTTTTAGGTCCTGGGGGGTGAAATAAACAAACACTACAATTTTTTACATAGATTGATATTTTATTCACAATGAAATGATAATAATAGTAGTAATAATGATTCGTAACAGCGCTTTAACAGTAGTTTTTTTTTAATGATAATCGTCACTTAAATTAAGATATTCACAAGTATCACAGGTGGTATTGGTCCCAGTGCAGGGGCCTGTGCTCAGACTGAGCTCTCTTTGTGCGGTGGAGGTGTTTGGGTGGCACAGTTCCGCGATTGAAGAATTGGTGCCCACGTCACGTGATAGGGCTTAACTGGCATTTGGGTCGCAGAGTTTCTTTTGCTTGATGGCCTGGCCGTTATAGTATACGGTGCTGCGCATTCCAACAGAGTTTCTATACACAAAATAAAAAAATAGATATTTCAAGACGATTAAAATAAAATAAATATAAAGAGAATCGTGTTTTACCGTTGCTTGGGGGAATTAAGTCTGGATTCTTATCGTCTGCTATGGTGGGATTGTCTGTGAAGGACACAGTAGGATTTTGCGGCATTTCATCCCTTTTGGGACTCCTCTGATTCCGTCTTTCTCTGATCGGGCTATCAACTCTAAATCTTTTCACGGCAAAAATAATCGCACCGATAGCAGCAGCAACGATTAGTGTGGATCCCGCTGCTAAAACAATATACAACCAAGGTCCCGTTGCTTTTTCTTCAATACCCGGACTAACAGAACGTCGAGGCTCTTTCAATCCGGGTGCTTGAAGCGTTTTGAACTGTAAAATCGTTGGACCCTTCGATGTTCCTTTGATGTTAATAGCATAAACGGTAGCAGTATACTCTTGAGATGGTTCCAAACTGTTAATGGGAAATTCCGGTGTATTACCCGATTGATTCGCTATGATGTTATCACTAAAGTTCAGTTGCATGACGAATCGTTGTTTTAAGCCACCATCGAAACCTTTTTTACAAGAAACAATGACCGAGTGGTGGGTGACATTGACGGGGGCACAATTTGTCGGAGGTTCCGGTGGACCCGCTCGGACTATTTGATATATACAGGGCGTCCTTTGGGAACCCAAGGTATTTGTTGCCCAACATTGTAACGTTCCGTAGTCCGCTAAAGTTCTTGGAACGTACGTCAGGACTCCACCTCCGGGTTCCGACGCGTACTGGTTTAAATCCTTTGAAATCCCGGGGGTACTGTTAAAACTCCAACGGTACGATGTCGGGGGAGGTTCTGCATCAACCTAGAAAATATTAATTTCTGGTTCAGTACAAGGATTTTCTAAAAAAAAATAATTTTGACGAATGATTAGATTAAATTAAACGTTATAAGTAGGTGTTTTCGAAGTACGATATTGAGCCTCTTAGGGTTAACCCCTAAAACTACGGTAATTAGGCAATTCTAAAGCAGTGGTAAACTGCTTTGAGGGTTTAAGCGTACTGAAGCATTTAAATTGAACATGATGTTAATCGCTCGGAGCGGTTTTGAATACCTGTATAGATAAATTCAAACTGGTTGTACTGGAGTTGTTTGAATTTACACTAAAAGATTTATGAAGCAAATGATTTCATAATAAAGGTCATGAATACAGAATAAGAAATCCCAGAACTGGAGACTTGACACCAAAAAGTTGCTGGTTGGACTAACAGCGTCTAAATTAATTAAGTAACATACACATATAACTATAAACAAACATTACAAATAATATTGAAAAATACTATAGATATATCATTAGGGGTTCTTCCTTGACATTATTTTATAGGTATGTGATTTAAATATGGCTTACAACGATAAAAAGGTTTCTAGTACAACGGTTACGACGAATAAAGATTGAGTTTTACTATAGACGAGAACATTAAATTAAGGTTGTAATAAGATGTAATGATCGTAATAAAGATATATTCCTACAATATTGTGAGTCATACAATTTCCCATAATACGAATAAGAGAAATTGTAATTTTCTTAACATCATTTTAAAGTATCCAGGTTAAGGATAACAAAAAGAGAATTTTTATCCCTGAGAATAAGATTTCATAAGCTGTACAAAGTGGGGGGTCCGTTTTTTTGGAGGAGGGAAGACGTCCATATTTTCTTCGTATAAACCCAGATCGCGCCCGCGGCCGCAACGTAGATAACTTTTAACGAAGAAAATGTAAGGCGACGTCGCTTGGAGTGCTCGACCGTCTGAAAAGATTCAATACCACCCATCCTTTTCTTAACCCACCCCTTTAATGCAAAAAGGTGAACCGAGATACGTAGGCCCTGGAATCTTGGACGGATTACAATAGAAAGACTCTTCTTTTTCACAGTGGTGGTTTTGTGGGGGAGAAGCGGTTGAAATAAGGTGGACGTAGAAAAGAGGTGGATCTAAGGAATCTAGGGGGTGAGTTCAGGGGTTGTCGTCACGATCGTGACTCGGTTCGAAATATGGCCTCGCATAAAAATACATTACAATAGGGTGCAATAACGCGAAATATAAATTGTAAGGAACTCGCGACATGGTCGCGGAGTAGACGTGGAATCTTTTGCCGGAAGGTTCCGGGAGGATAATGCTTGGACTTACTCGGGCTTGTCGAGGATGTGTGTTCGTGTTTCTTAGGGGGGAGGGACGTGGTGACGTCCGCACGCGATTCATGTGTATTTCTTTTCACCAACACTGTGTAGGAAGTTATATTTTATATAAAACCAGGATGGAGTTCTTTTTCAAGAAAGAGAGGTACATTTATCTACTTCTAAAATTCAATTATTTTATTACAAAAATGTCTCTTATTTGTTTCTGGTTTTATTAAAAGTTAAAATCCAAACTTTAAATCCTTTATTAAACATAAATTTTTATATATGTGTTATTAATGCAAATAAAATTTATGAGCTGTGTTCATTTAAAATAAAATAAGCTTCGATTAAATTAAATATTAACAACGAACAATATGTTCTCTTTACAATAATAATTTAAATCTTGTTTATTTTACATCATTTTTTTTTAGTTTTTTCACCAAAATTTATGAACGAAATTATTTTCTTTCAGTTTAATAGTAATTCATTTTGTTTTTAAAATATGATGAAAAAATTAAAATTGAAATTGTTTTTTGCATATTGTTTATTATTTTACGAACGCATTCCGTTTTTGAAATTATTCGGTTCATTTATTTTGTAACGCTTCAATATTGATATTTTAAACAATTACAATCGTGTAATAACAGTACGTTTAAAAATTTGTATTCGAATTGCATTAATGGACCGATACGACGAGGTGGTGAAAAATAAAATAATTGAATATTCAAAAAAAAAGGTTATTTTATTATTTCCAAAAACTTTTGTATTGTTGAAAATTCTTTGAAAAGCTATTACTTATTCATGAGGAACTCTCTTAAGAGCTTTATCCGAAACCAACCCTCCTTCGTTTCCTATCGCCATCATACAATATCGATTGAATCGTCAAACTCCGGTTGTCGAAAGTGTCGCGAAAACCTTGCGACCGACCTACGTTTGATATTCGTATTGATTTTGAAAAGTTTTTAGTGTGAGCGTGCAGTTTTCACGAGAAAACTTCTCAGCCAATACCACAATACCACGACTAAACCCTTTGAATCTGGCACAATGGTGAGTGAATTAATTGAGTTCCGGATGAAGTTTCCAACTTTACGAAATATTTTGTGGAAATCCTTCAAAGAGAGTCTTCTGTTTGTATTTATTCTAAATTTACGAAATTTCGATTTAAAATTGTTTATCGTGTATATACAGTGTCAGCCAAAAAGTCAGGAACACTCATTTTATTTCTGTTCCATTGCATTTACATTTCTGAAATTTTGTTTATGTGGGAGGTTCATACCGACCTCTCGATCTAAAGTATTTTCAAGATGGTGGTCACTTCCGGTCCTCCGGATAGTTTTTATTGCACCTTTTAATTATAATTGACTTTGATAAAGGTATTGGTACCTAGCGCTTTTCATTTTCGAGTTATTTTGATTTTAAATTTTTCTTGGCAAATTTCACCATGCTTCTTAAAACTCTATATCTTAGCAAACGTTCATTCAAAAAAGTTGTAAATTGGTACGAGTACTCTTCAAATGCTGTCGAATAGATCGTCATTTACTGTATCACAGTATCTTGTACAGGATGGCCCGCATTCAATGGTAAGACAGTGAAAATTTTAAATGGTAAGCCCCATGTTTTATTAGCCCACCAGAAAGGGAATTCGCCGAGAAATGCCGGAAATCGGATATATTATTATTAAGACATGATATTTTGACAGTTTTTCGTTTAATTTATTTTTACAATTAACTTTGATTGATAAGCTATTAGTTCACTATCTTTTATTTACCAAAAATAACAAATAGAAGAACAAATAAATGAATTAATGAAAACAAAAATTAGGTTTGAAAAAAAAATTTAATTTTCCCTCTGGTAGGTTAAAAAAATATGAGGCGTACCATTTAAAATTTTCACTATTCAATTTTTGGCCAACCTGTATAAGATACTCTGATACAACAAATGATTACCACTATTTGATATCATTTGATGAGTAATCTTACCAAGTTAGAGCTTTCTTGAATAAATATTGGCTGAGCTATGGGGTTTTAAAAGCATGGTCTTAAAATCAAAATCAAACTTTTATCAAAGTCAACATAAACTGAGAATACTTTAGATCGAAAGATCGGTAGAACCTCCCATATAAGCTAAATGTCAGAAACATTGATACAATGGAACAGAAATAAAACGGGTGTTGCAGACTTTTTGGCGGACACTGTAGATTTAAAAATGATATATTTTTGTATATATTTATAATATCTAATTATAGTTAGCTTTATGTTTAATAAGTTTACCAAAATTTACCAAAATACCTCACCTTACATTCAATACGAAGAGGTTCATCTTTTGCTGCCCCTAAAAGCTTTTTATTTGGACCATCGGAACAAACTGGTTCAAATTTAACTTTTAAATGAAATGGTTTGCTTCTAGCAGATCCTTCGCTGTTACTAGCTTCGCAACAATATCGTCCTGAACTAAATCTATTCACTCTCTGTAACAAAAAGCGTAGTTATATATAAGTTGAAATATTTTTTTTATTCAATGACACTATTATGCCTGCAATTAAAACTAGTTTTATAGTCTTCGAATTTTGTTCTCACGCACTGTATCCTGCGTTTATACCTAACACACTATACAAGATCACTTTCTTTCCATTTTCTTTACTCTTCGGACGTGGTCCAACAGACGAAGAGAATTAATGATATTTCGTAGCTCTTTATCTTAGAATATTTGCATACACTTCACGTTCAAGTTACAGGCACAGCCTCACAGCTGTTTCAGGATCTGATAATAAATTACTAGATCTGTCTGTATTTTAGGTCTAATTCTTTCCACCTTAGGTTGGTGTCCAGAGTCATGCTTAAGTACTTAGAGTTAGTAGTTAGGTGGTATCCTCTAGTAGATTTACTCTGTCATCTGTATACGTAGCCACCATAGTCCCCTTCTACTCTGGTATGTTACAAATATATAGCTGATGCGGAGTAGAACCCAGTACAGATGTATGAAGCACTTTTATCCCTTATTAAGTTCGAGTTCATCTTCTAGTTTAACTTTGAAGAGTCTGTCTGAGATGTATGATTGCAATATCTCCACGTATTTCTTTGGAAGCATTTTGCTAGTTTGGATATCGAACTTTCGTGCCAAACTTTGCTAAAGGCAAAGAAACATGACAACTAGAAAGACTATTCAAGAGACTTTGTTTTCTTTCAAATCCCGTTCAATGGTGTCGCTTATTCTATGTACTTGGTCTATTGATTAGTGTTTTCGCCTGAATCCAAAAAAATAATCTGGATATTAAATTCTATTAGTGACCTTAGTTATTTGGAAGTAACTCAGAAGCAGTAATTTCTCTGTAAGATTTAAATATTGCTGTTTTCTTGGCTTTGGCAATATGATTTAACTCTCAGCATCCCGATATATGTCTTAATCTAAATGGCTGCGTTAGCAGGTGTTTTACAATTTATTCTGTGATGAGAGCAAAAACTGAAGATCCGTTGGCTACTGTCATTTTCTTCCAACTCTCAGTTTTTCTTTGACAAGTTATCTGCTCCCTAGTGGATTATTCACACCTTGGTTACGTGTGTTATCTTTTTAGTGTTGCTGTACGCGGTTGATTGAGTAAGACAGGTGAAATGTTCAGCTTGTTTTTCTAGTTTTCCCCTCGTTCTAAGACTAATGTTTAGGTTGATTTTGATTAGGTCAATCTGAATGCTTTTCCAGTCAGTTCTAAATGTATCAGGAGAGTAAGGTATTTTTTGCTGTTATATTTTCACGGGCAGTAAACAACTTTTCTTTTGATGACATAATTCTGATTGCTGTTAGTTGGATCTCTTTTCTTTGCATCATATGGTATACTTCAAATATCTGCCTGGAATGTAGCAAATTTTTTTGGTCCACAATTATTTTATTTTTGGGGTAGTACCAGTATTAGATCGATTAGATCTAATGTCATCATCATTCTCTGTATTATCTATATTATAGATACTTTACTATATTATGGACAATTTGTCGTGCTTGGGCTATAACTTGGTTGGTTATTATCTATTCTTTTCCGCAACTCCATTGCTGCATCATCTGGAGCCATGTCATTGCCAACTCTTAAATTTTGGCATAGGCTTCTCCCTACTGCTTCTATCTTCATATGGTTGATATATTGATTATCAATGTATGCACTTTGTTTTCGTATGTATGTTTACGGTTTAACTAGACGAATGAACAAACGATTCGTATTGTGGTCGTTCTAGAATGTGAAATATATTCCTATCTAGCCAACAATCCCAACGAGTTCATTTGAGTAGTCTTAATAGACTATATATTCAGCGCACTACTTTTATCCGATTAGTGTGTAATAAACATTACGTTATTTGTAATGAAATGGAATGCCATACTAAGGGCTATTCAAAAATGCATTCGCTTAAGTGCGTCGGAGCAGTGCCTGCTACTCCTGGTAACACACTACGTAGAATGAGGAAACGTTTTCATTATTCTCTCTGTACTGAATGGCTGACGAATTCAACACGATGCAAGAAGTTCTATGTAGTGTAGAATATCTACTCAAATGAAGGAGTTCTTATTGTTGATCGCCCATAAAAATGAAGGATTGTTACAAATATTAATAAATACTAGTAAATCGAAGTAGATTCGAGAAATTTTTAATCAATTTCTTTAATAATTTATGAGAAAGTGCGTTTGTTGAATTGAAAAGGGAACAGTTATTGGGGGTCGTTGTAAAGTTCTCTCAACTCCTTTGAGAGTTTCCGGTCGTGTCACTGCCACCGGTGGCGGTAACTTTTCCTTTAACAAACATCGCGTGGGATTCGTCGATGTCCCCCGAAGTGTAAGAACTGGATTTTTCCGAACTGCCAACGTTTGCAAGAGTTGACTTGAAGATTGAACGCGTTATAGGAGGGTGTTGTATTTCAACTTGACGTGACATGTGGTAATTTTGCAGACGGTGCCCCTGGCGCTAGAAACTTTTACTCAAAGTATTTTTAAGTATCAACCAAGTTGAACTACTTTGAAAGTTAAGGGTAACACATACTACGCCAACTTAGCATGGAGCAGGTGGTCTAATCGATTGGAGTCAAGACACGTTATATGCGATGGAAGAACTTGCTATTATGTTCTTGTGAAGATCTTCTCATTCCTTAGGATTATAATAGAAGACGAAGTATTTCGAGAGAACAATACATGTAGCACCATCAAACTTAAATTGGGAATAGATCGTCTAAGTTCTTGAAAAGCACGAAGTCGTATTGTGGGCAACGTAAATTACAAAAAAAAAGGTGACAAAGAGGTTTAATTTAATTTTTTATTACCTGTAATACTAAAGTTTGATTGCTCACAATAATTCCATTAGTAGTATTACTTTGGAGTCTCTCCCCATCTCTCAACCACCATACACGAAGAACCTAAAACAAATTGCAGAAAATTATGTATTATTCACTTCTTTTTTTCTACACGAAAAGTTTACTTTAGAATTTTATAAAAAAAAATCGAAACTCTAACTTTCTGAATATAGCTTTTTCGCATCATGAATTATTCATATCCGCTGACTATTCGGCGAGACATTTCAGACTTTTTTATATGTCAACCGAAACCGGTAATCCTTGGCTATAAAATTAAAATTAATAACTTTACGGGGCTGATATAAAATTAAATTTTTGAAACTTCCCTGTTACACAAGAATGAATAAAAAAACTAATAATACATTATGCAAAATTTCGTCCCTTTTATGTCAGTTTCAAAAAATTAAAATATCACTTTTTCAACGACGAAAATGAACGTTGACATTTTTTACCTCAAATTAAATAAAAAAGGGGTAGCAAAATTGTAACCTCAAAGAGCCTCCGAAATTACACGGAATTAAATCGTAAATAAATAAGGCATGTCCGCCTCGCTTTCGTTTTTAGTTCCTTTTTTTCAAATTCAAATCCGAAAATCTCGCCGAAATAAAAAAAATATCACCCGATATCGAAATTCCGTGACCTCGATAAGCCAATTACAATGAGAGGTTGTGGCACACGTCAAAACGCGCGTTTACACCGCACTTGTTCCAACGAATTTTCCAACAATGGGGACACAAAGCATTCACAGGAATATCTCGAAATCTATTGTTCAGTCGTTGACCTGTCGTTTTTCATTCGTATCCGTACCCAAGCTTTTCAATCCCCCAAAAAAATCAGCCGATTTATATCCATTAATAGCGTAGGTAGTTGATTCAAAAAAATTTTCCCATGCAAAGTAAACGGCTAAATTGCATTGATGAAAGCGAGTATAAAATTCATAATCAACTCTGACTTTAATGCAGTATCTACTCAAATCTTTTTTTTCACATTTATACTTTTTCTTTCTCGACGATTTTGTTGGTATAAAAAATAGGAATTCAATAGTAATCGGGTGTGGGATTAGTTTTAAATCCTACCAGTTTGCGAGGTTGTTCCGATTTTCATTCAGGGGGCAGTAGTTTACAATCAAACGGTCGGTTTTCAATTCTGCAAATAGAAAAATCGATCGTGGACGGAAATTAAAGGAATGGTAATCATATTGAACTGGGATAGGTAATATAACAGTAGGAGTGAACGCAATCGTACTCAAATGAAGCTTTATTTCCAACGCAATATTATTTTTGATAAATTTGACAATCAAAATCAAATTCGTTACTCTATCTATTTACTATTTAATCCGACATTATTATTATTATTAGTTATTTAGTACGATTGCCAAATATCTGAAACAGAGATATGTTATTAATAAACATATTAATAAACAGATTTGTAAACAAATTTATATACCGATATCATATCTAAACAAACAATATAATTATTTTCAATGATAAATTAGACTTCTATTAATAAAATGTTTTACAAAGTATTTTCACAAAAAAGTTCCTTAAGTTTGTTATCAACAGACACAAACATACTGGTATTTTTTGAATTACAAGATTTTTAGTAATGAATATATCCTTATTAGAAATCGTGTTTAAAAAAGTTAATAGCATATATCTATTACTTTATAACGATTTAATTTGAATTTTTATGTAATTGGTATCAGTTACAATAATTTCCGATTCAAATGCTGAAATATAGAATAGAATAGCTGTAGAATAACGTGTTTAAACGGTTCCCTCTCATCAAAGGCTTTTGCATGTCTCAAAGAGCTACAATGAGTTGATCTATTTCGAGTTGATGTGGTGTTAATTGCAGTGCCTCGGCTACATGCCACCTTGGCTAAATGAGGCCAAGTCAAAGAGCATCTCTTGCAAGTTGAATCAACATCGTATTAACCCAAAACTGGTCAACACGTTGCAGCTCGGTCGCAAGCAATCTCGTCTTAGTCAGGTGAAGTCATAAACTCTCTATTCTAATACTAGCCAAGGTTGCATGCAGCACAATTAATATCATATCAATTAGTCAACATATTTCAGCTTAGTCAACATATCGTTTGGGTTGATACTTAGTGTCCAAATTATTTCGAAACTAAGAATTTGATCTTCAAAGATACCTAATAACATTCGCATCGATAAATGAAGTGTCTTTGAAGTGTCGGCCTACTCCAATAACCTATACATAAACAAATTCGAGTTGCTCGAGAAAGTGCGCTATTTTCTTGATCTTTCAGTAGTCACATGATGTGACTTTCATGAACTCCCTTACTGTGGTGAACCTTTAGGATCTTTAGGTTTGAATTCAGATAGTCTTGGTGTTCGAGATATCTTGGGTCGGCTAACATCAAAGATTTCGAAGACAACCGTGTTTAATTTTTATAGTCATTTCAAACGAAATAGCTTCTCAGGACGGTTCGTGTTGTTTCGGAATTTGGGAGTTGGTCTTCGGAGATGCTTAATATATGGTAGCCACATCGCCTAATAAATATGAAAATTCAAACAATATGCTCTAAGAATTGTTTGATGGAGCTATTTTTCCATTTCAAACAAGATAGCTTCGCAGAAGAGGCGAAATTTAAAGAAACGTTAGTATCAGTTGACTCACTACAAGGCGTAAATTATTTGGATAAGTGATAAAAAAAATTCGATTCAAGCGCAAATGTCCAAATAAGATGATTGTTGGAGACCGTTGTAGCTAATACCCCCTACTATATCCAGTAGATTGTCAAAGGAGATTCTTTTGGCATCAGCAAAATTTTAGCAGCAACAGCATGGTGGTGCGAACAGGATTTCGACTCTAGCACTGGCTAAGTGTTTTCCTCGTCATACAAATAGCGTTCGATACAACCAACTATAGAAGTATCAACATGGTACTGGCATCATGAGTACTTAATTGCAGGCTGCATAAAAACATGTTTCCGAATAAGGCAGAACATCCTATAAGATCCTATGATTGTTACAACGCTATGTAACGAACTAAGCCTTACTTCTAATTTATCATGTCTTTTATTAAGAGTTATTAATGCTCTGTGCCATCGTGAATTTGGGTTACGATTGATGAAAAACATAATTTGAAGATTGGACAAATGTTTACCAAGTAAACGCATTGTAAAGACAACTCAACTATTTACCTCAAAAGCATTTCATTGTTACATTGATTTTGCCATAACTACTTCACTTTTCGAAGACGTATTTGGAACCCATTTGCATTTGGCTAGAAAACACAAGATCATTAAATAAAGTTAGTAAGGAATTGGAAGAACTGGAAGTATAGGAAGACCATAATCAAGGTATTCGACGGAGCTGCGTAGTCGTACGAAGAGTTGGGTTGGGTGTGTTTTACTGGGGATTTTTCCAGAGCAAAATTGTTTGTGCGGACTTTATTAGTGTTGATTAAACAAGGTATTCAAGAAAACTTGGAAAATTTTATGCGAAGGTATACATATATAAAGCTTTATTAGCTATTGAGGTCAAAAAGTAACACTAATTAAAAATAGACACAACAGTTTAGCAAAATATTCAGACTTATCTACTGCATAGGAAAGGAAATTAAGAAATAATTTCGTGCCACTGCAATTGAATTTGCATTTAATAATTAACTTTCAATATCTTTATTTATGTTCCATGTGAACATCTTCATAGGGAAACGTTAAACCAAATATTACCTTAATGACATAAACTGTAATGACGAACAAATCAATTATGATATGGTTAATCGATAGTAACGAAGCCCAAACAATTGGGGCTTCGTATTAATGTAGCTATATCAACGATTATGGTGTTTGGTAATGTTAGGTCTCGCGTGCTGTTTGAGTTATCCATAATTGTATAAGTTAATGTTATTAAGTTTTGAACTATAAATTTTACTAGTTAAAGTGTATTCAACCCTAAAGATATGTTATGGCAGTAGAACTTCGTATATTTCTAATATTAATGAAGCTATATTTTATCCGTGTTTAATCGGATTGGATTAAAGTCGTATTCAACTAGCATTGAACACTCGCGTATGATTCATTTATGAGATACAGGAGCACAATAAAATCTCTCACACGTGGTTTGTCTATAAATGCCTTCGGTGTCTATCCAAATAATAAGGTGTGATATTAAACTTAAGCACAAGCATTCATTATATATCTTATAGTTATAGCGCAAATAAAACTTGGTGAGTAGATTTTAAGATAAATTTAATTCTAAATATACGACATCATCTTGAGAAATTCTTATTTTGATTGTACAATTGTCTGAATGTATTCAAACAAACAACTAAAAAAATTGTGATGAATACTACGAGTAAGATAATTTCTGTTTTATCTTGATTTTCAATTTCTTTGTTATCTACCTTAAGGGCGAGCGACAATTCCGTTATTGAAATATCGGAAAAATAAAACATCGTTGTTGACAAGTTCTAAATAATGAAACTCTCCCGGTTCCGATGTTCCAATAACTGGAATTCTTGGAGACAAATCCTTATTTGTTTGAGTATTTTATAAGTTTCTCGATTCAAAAGTTTTCCTTTGATAAGAAAAAAAATCCTTTCGTAACGACTTAGTTTTATTTTTTTTTAAATTTCTTTTTGGTGATAAATGCATTTTTTATGAACCGTCCTCGTTACATCATCTTTTGATCCTGGAGTTATTTGCTTTATGAGTGTGAGAGCACCTTCCTCTAGCGTTCTATTATATAACTCTGAACGCGGTTCTCGTTATTACTCACGACATTCACAATGGGTTCTCGCGATTTTCCCGAGACTTACTAATTCCAGTCGACAATGGATGAGAATCTAGAATTGTTCCTCGTACACGTTCCTAGTTTGCGTGCTAATTGTTGCAGGAGATTACTTTACCTAAAACGTTCAATAGAGCAAATGTTTAAACAAGAAAACCAATTTATCTATCATTTCAATTCAAAACCATCACCGTTTGAATACGTTAATATTTATTTGGGATTAAGTTGTCATTTTCATATGCAAAGTTATCTTCAAAACCAATTAAATTTTGATTATTATTTTTAGATGCTTGTTTATAGTTGAATTCTAATATATATGTTAATACATCGGCGATCGATTCGCATCCACTTGATTGAGTTCAGGCTAAAGTCACGAGTTCCGTCTGTTTGTCACACGTAATTGGAATAATTTTGATGAAAGGAAATCGAAATGAAATTTGAAAAATCGATTAAACTGTTGTTTTTGCTACGTTGTATTCTCCGATGTCAAGCTCTTTGGCTTCAGGGTGATGGTAAATAATAAATTATGAAAGTAAAAAAAGCGATTGTTAGACTCGCCTGGTGTGGAAAAGTACAGTTTTTTCTCATTTTCTTTTCCAAGGTTGTTATTAGTATACAAAACTAAAGTTTAAATTAATTTTAAAAAAGATGTTAACTTGTTGACTTCTTTTATATTTGATGTTATGAAGTCATATCAATATGCTCGTAGGGGTGGATTAAGAGAACGCTCACCGGTAACTCCCCACCTTGATCTTGCAAAATTCAGCCCCCACGCAATTCTAAAGCTATAATCCGCTTACGAGTCGAAACAGCTACTCCCGAAAACCGAGTTTGTTCCTGGTAGAATAAGGGTGATACAAATTGAATGAGCTAAATAAGCTTAGCGGTAGATAACATCGCAACTTGTGATTGCGTCCTGTTACATTGAACCTTTTTAAGTTTGTTTTTATATTCTCTAAAAGGACACGTGCGAATATGTTTTAATGAAATTTCTGTTTTGATGTAATATTAAATTTGAGTATGTTCTTTGTTCTATTCATGTATTTCATTTTTCTTTTAAATAGAGCGAAGAAATGATACAAGAAAGAACTAATAATACTTTTCAGCTCTGTATGAAGGGAACAAAAAAATTGTGAACTGCTGTGTAACGTCCAGTTTATTAAAAACGTACTTTTCAGACAGACAATGCTCGTTATTACAACATCGAGCGATTTTCTCGTAGTTCTTTCGTAACTAATAACAGCTGGTTCTTTAAAATTATTGAATTTGATGCTCAGTTACTACCGGAGAAAATTCAATATAAATTCACCAATAAAAGTCAACAAAAAGATTCAATCATAATTATTTTCTAGATATCATAATAAACTGGTAAGTAACTAATCAATTTAAAAAAAATTCACTTTAGGAGAAAAGAAAGGATAAAGATTCAATCTCATTCGAGAGTTTTGTCACTTGGCGTAGTACAAAAGCCGCCGTCGATGACGGCGTTTGTTCGACGTCGGCGACGAACAAAAGGCTTTCTTGAATGCTTTGAGGTGTGTGTAAGAGTGGAGGAGCTTTGGACGCGCGATGTAATTTCCCTTTTGGTGAGCAACGGTGCGGATCGGGCGCCCTTCTCGAATAGGATAGAGTCAAAAGTTATCGTTTCGTTGGCCTTGCGACAGCTGACTGCAAGCGAGAACCTGAAAAAGCTCGTCGAAGCCAAGCTAGAGCTCGCAGCAGCACGTTTCGAATTAGCGCTGCGGCCGGGCGTTAGATAAACGTTGTTGGAAAGGTCATTTGCGGAAACGTGGAGGTCCGGGAAAGGTCTATAATTAAAACCGGTCTAGCGTGACGCCCTTTGGGATGTTAGCGGGGTGGATAATTTCCCGGTAACGTTTCGATCTCTTCTCAACGACTAACATCACTACTAGCGGATGTTTTGCTTGTGGTTGCGGTGTTGCTTTTAGATGACTTCCTGTTTATTTTACTTTATTTTTTTTTCTTTTTCAGCTGTTGTAATTGGGCTTGGCTTTTTTCAAGAAGAAATGGAATTTTTTAAATTATCGTTTTAATATTTGTTAGTAGAAATAACCAGATTTAAAATTAAGTTGAGCTTACGACTTTAATTTACTGCACTTTTTCTCGCGATACTTTCCTTGTTTTTGTAGGCTTCCTGAAAAGTATATAGATAATCCGATACTCGGTTTTTCAGTCCCTCTTAAAGAGATTTACGTTGATGACATCATCTCCGGCGACAAGGACGTTGATGAAATTGAGGAGGTGATTTGATTGAACCGAGTGCATCGTACGCGACGTGGTGGTTTTTCAATATTCTGAAAGCTTTTGATATCTTTCAAAGTTTAATTGAATTTAATTGATAAGTTTCGGTTTTCAGCAACTAGATTATTAATCGTAATTTTGTACATCCATGATTCGCGTTAGTCTCAATCTAATTTACATATCAAGAATTTTTTTAGAATACCCTGTATTTTGCATGGCCTAAAATAATTACCCTTTTGAGCGTAGCAATGTATTAATTAGCGCACCATCGGAGCAAACGTGAACTTGGTAAACACTGGTTACCGATGCGGTTGCGAAATGTTTAAATACGTCTCCCTCATTTGCATTAGAAGCGCTACACCACCGCCAGTTTGAACTTGTTATACGTTATTCCATGGGAATACGAATATAACCGCAACTACCAATACCTCCTGCAATTTCTATGTGTAGTATGTTTAGAATGTGTTAGTTACTGTAAATATGATGAAATCGAAAATTAAAGGGATCTCACTTTTTTTAAGACATTTCAAAGAATGGGTGTGAGCTTTTTTAAAGTAATAGTAAAGTAATTTTAAAAATCTGGGAGTGTAGTACTTTAAAAGGAAACTGTCGCATTTGAAAATATCTCCTTTCTAGTAAAGTGTATTCGTTGAATGGACGTCGCGTGCATTTTTATCAGTGCCTATCTTTGGTAAGGGGTTTTCGCATTGAAATGCATCCGGCGTAATGTATGGTAAATATTTGGTCATAAATCTGAGTGGGACGTAAGTGTTTCAAAGGCATCTGTGCCTGCGAGTATTGCGCCACCCAAAATTGGTTTTCCACTCGTAACAAATATGCACTTCGATGCTCAACTTTTACGCCCACACAATCAGGATTCGCTACTAAACGACCAAACTCAATCAAAATCGGTTTTAGGATTAGAAAGGGTTGAATTCTGTTCTGTATCCGGTGTCCCCTTGAAACTCCGCGGCATTTCTCAAACCGTCCCGGACAACGGTTTTACATTTATCGGACGTCCAAAGGGCCCGAAATTTCCGAACAAACCCGCAAACTTCACAAAATCCAACTGAATTATCTCACTCTCCAAATACAAACTCTCTTTTACTATAATTACTATAAATTTGAGTTTTACTTACCCAGGGATTTGCGATTAAGTGACATTCAAAGTAAACTCCATCGCCTTCTTTAATTTCATTAACATCTACAGCATGTCCAGGAGTCAAAGTAACATTTGGGGGATAAAAAACTTTTAACATCCAAGTATCTCTGAGTTCGCTGTGTGGTATCCTTTGATTAGAAGCTTTACAAGTTAAAATTAAACCATGATCAGCTGCTGTTGGTATAAACGATAATGTGCTTATACTTGAGTTATCATCAGTACTATATTCGATAACTCCCCCTTCTAAAGAGACGCCATCCTGTAACAAAAAAATATATAATTTTATTTTCAGAAATTATATTTGATATTACTAAAAGTTAACACATAATAAATTGGTGAATCGCTCCGCTAGTTGCCTGGCTCGTGTGGCGTGGCACTGGGAATTAAATATCTACAACCACCATAAATCATGAAACCGGCCGCCCCATAAATTTATCAACAATTAATTTGTCGCGCCCGGCGCAAACAAATAAATGCGTATAGTAATTAATACGGAGTGAAATATCGCGCTACGACTCGGTCTAATGAATACAGTGTGGCATATTGGGAGTCTCGACCTACTGAAATTGCCCTCATTTATTATCTGACTCGACAGATATATAAAATTAGACAGATCGGGTTCGTGATCATTAATTTATATGATTTCAATAATCCAACCCACAATAATATATCAATTTTATTACAAATTTATTTTTATTTAATAAAAAACTGAATAGTTTGTTAAAATTTTTTGCATCAAAATATTCCATCCCCAATGAACTAAATAAAAGACAAAGGGAGGATGGTAACACTATCGATTCGATTCCTTTTTCCTTAGCTATTTCTCTTACTTAATCGACAAATTTGAACGAATTTTAATAAGTATAAGACCATCCAAGAATTATTAGAGCATAAACTTAATAAATTATGGAACAGCAAGTAGCGCACCAATAAAACGGGGAGGTAGAAATGTTGGAATTAGAATTAGAATCTAAGATGAGAATTTATCGAAGGAAATAAGTAAGTGTTGAATACAGTATTTGTCTCAAAAGTGTATGAATTTATTACTTGTAAAAATAGTGCATTACTATAAAAAATCTGTAAGATTTGCCCAGATCTTGGGTCCATCAAAGTCTTATAACCATATTCAGAAATTAACAGGATTATTGGGGTTTTTTCAGTGAATCATATAATTTGAAGAAAAAGAGAAGTCTGCCTTTCAGCGTAGCTCCTTAGTGGCCAGAACACCATCTGAAATGGCCAAGCAAAGAAGCAGTTGGGCAATCACAAACCAAAAATTCGTCCGAAGATGATGGTGAACTGAATAGGACGGTAGTTTCAGGAGAGATGGAAGCAGAGGAGATACACCTTCGGGGAATACTGAGCTTATGAAGTTATGGACCATGACGAGACTAAATGACCTAAAAAGTGGAACACCGCCTTTACTTAAAACTTAGTCATGGTTAGGTGACAGTACGGTTGAAAGCACCGAACAGAAGACACATGTAAACAGAAACGAAGAGATGGAGATAAAGAAATTAATGACGATGAAGAGGAAAGTGCAGGACACACGAAAACTGCAGCAAGAGGCATAGAGAAAATCCTGAATTTGGAGAATCTCCTGAAAAGGAATGTTGAACAAAACTCTAAGAGCGAGATTAAGAAGACATGCGATAGACGGACAGGCGCAAATATTAAATGGGAAGAAGATTGGAGAGTGGATTAAGAATATGGCGAAAGATAGGAGGTGTAACGGTAAGAAGGAGGGTATAAGATCAGACAACTCAGATGGATGAGATTGTGACAGACAGCATAATTCTCCAGCATAATTTCAAATGTCGAGTAGCAAGCTTATTTCGCAGAGCTGTGAGATTAGAACAAGGTAATTTTTTCGGATAAGTCAAAATTTAATAGCTTTGGCTTCCATAGTTTGATTTATGTATGGCGGAAATCAAAAACCGGACTAAAAAAAAAGATTTTAAACGCGATAATCCAACATAGTGGAGGTAGCATGATGATTTGAATCTGCATGTCAGTCATCGGGAATTTCGTATTTATCGATGTGCTTCGAAGTACTGAAAATCTCAACATACAAAATAGCTTTCGTTTTTATCAAGATAACAACATTATTATTAACTTATCGTGGCTTATTTGAAACAGTTCTTAGATAATGGCACCACAATTACTGGCACTTGATATGAATTCAATTGAAAATCTATAGGCATTTTTAGATCAAAATAATAGAATTACACCACCGCTAACAACAAAAAAATGTAGACTTAATGCCAAAGCTATTCAAGTAATCAGAAGCAACAGTGGCTTTGAGAGATCGAATCGATCTGGGCAGTAAACCTCCATTTATAAGGTAACAGCTTACCAAACTTATGATTTCTTTGATGCAGAAAATACGCAGCATAACATACACACTTTTAGTAATCGTTAACTGAAACAGTTCACCATTCCATTCAAACGATGCCTTATCCCATATGAAACTATATGGAGTTGTGCTACTGGAGGATGTTTATAAAGCAATTCAGATATTATAAACATGGTAGCAAATGAAGCAAGACACCTTGTAAGCAAAAAGTCAAATCAAGTTACGAGGTATCACACCTGCAAATTTAGTAAGTCATTCCATGTGGTACAATGTGAAATATAATATGGGAAAAAGGAATAGCCCAATAATATTATGAATACTAAAATTATGCATACTAAAATCATTTTTGTCATAGATCAGAGCAACTTACGTAAAGTTTCATTTCAAATCTCATTTCATGTTTAATGTATTTCTTGGATTAATATCATGGAAATGTTATGCTGAAACACGAAATTACTCAGCTTCATATATTAAACATGTACTTCTATGTAATTGGCGGCATTCATTCGGGTCGTGATCCACGCCAAACTTTGTTTTAGTCAAAAATGAGACTAACCATCTGGGTCATTCAAATTACATTATTTTTTCGTCATTGAACATAACATTGTTCGTCTCTCCATGAATATGAATTATTCCGCAAGCTGTAAGCGTTCTTGAATATATTGGTCATTTAGAACAGGTTTCGCAACGTTTTGAACCTAAGATAGTCCTAAATTTTTTAAGCAATACTTTACCATTGCAATATAATTCCTAAAACATGTACTTGATACAGTTGAGACGAGATATATAAGTTGGACATTATGAAAAATAGTGGTAATTCATCATGAAGACGCTCATAACTAAAGTTTTGAGCTTAAACCAAAACTGCAATAAAATGCCTTCTGTTTTCAGCTTTGTTTATCTATTTACTGTTGAAGAAATAGAGAAGAAAAGATTTTATACCAAAAGCAGTGAAAAGATTTAGGTGAATAAAATGTGTGTAGATCTAGCTTGAAATATAGCTGAAAGAAATAAATTTAATGAAAACTTTATTTTATTAAAAATATGTTAACCTCAAAATATTTTTATTAAAACATCAAAATGATTTCCGGTCTAGTTAACATTCTTAATTACGTTTAGATTGAGCTCTGGTTCAACGAGCCGTGAGGTTTACGCAAATACAGTCCCAGATAATTGCATACGGCCGTGTGGGCAGCATAGGGTCAACACTAGCAAGGAAACCCCGGTCCAAACCGGTACTACGGGGTTCGAACAAGTTCGACGACGATGCCCTAAATTGCACAGTCGGGCGTTTAAGCGTCTCCCCGGCTTTGGAAGCGACGACGATGTCGAGACCGTTAATACGGCCTTTGTCGGCCGAAAGGGGCCCCTGGAGTCACGGGGGTTGGTCCGGAGGCGTCTCTCCTTAAGTTCGTAATTTTATCGCCCGTGCACCTACTTTAGTTAGTTTGTTAGTTTGAGTTAATTGCCCCTTAATTAATGCACCCTGGATTGCGCTCAAAATAAGACCAATGGGACAGGAAAGTCTTTATGGAGCTACGAGGAGTGAAAAATGATTTAAACACGTTTGAATGTCTTTTAGTATCATCCAGCTTTAAATTACTTTAGTTATCTTAAGTTGAACTGGAAGATTTAATCGGACTTCTCTATTTTTCTTGGAACTCAAACAAAACGCGATGTTTCAATTTCGAAAGGAACGATATTGACTTTTCAAAGTGAAATAATCCGAACAGTGATTTACGAGTTTCATTTCGCGTTAGTTACCCCGGGGGTAGTTCTTATCTGGGTGATAGGATCGACAGGGCGTCGTCGTGAAGGCGTTGGTAGGAATTACTGATTTGTAGGTCGCATGGTCCGAGGGTGCATAGTACCTCTAATACTGAGTGCAATCTGAATTTTAAGATAAGGAAACGCTTCTCGCCTTGGAAACTTTGCCCCAAAAGGTTTTAATATCCCCGATTTTCTTTTAATGGTGGACGATGTGCGCCGACGTCATCTCATCGTTGCCTGGCGTCGTCATCGTTGCAATACCGGGGTTTAACCAGGTGTTCCTAACGGTTCTCCGTTGCTATCTAAATGGCCGAAACGAGGGAACTGCAAGTGTGAACGCTTTCGTTGAGGCGTAGGTGCCATTATTCGGGGAGATATCTGTAAGGGAATGTTTGTGTAGGAAGCGTGTGAACGGAAAATTAGAAAAGAAATTTTATAAGGTGAAAATTTATATTTTTAGATAAAGTTAATAAATGTTACCTATACCTTATGCGAATTAGTTGGGGTGCGTTTCGCAATTTTCCAAGTTGTGTTCCTTAGAGGTTGTGACAATGGCGTGTTGTCTTGAGTGAAAAGTTTTGTTGTTGCCGCGAGAGAAGTTGTCAAAACGGGGCTGCAGAAACGGGTAGCCACCAGCAAAGGGGCTGGCAGGAGACACGAACTCGCGGTTCGCGTACCGATTGAAACTGTACACCAAGTTCCTTAATGGTGAACGCTTGGAGCAGTATATACAGCGTGTCAAATTAATTTGTCTTGTAGAAACTTGTATTCTCTACAGAAATTCTTAAGATAATTTAAACATTAATTTGATGAACGTTGAAACTATTGTCGCCCTCCACGCTTAAAACGGATTTGCTTTAACCCCAAACCATCTAACTAGGGGTCGGATAATAATAAGATGAATTTATCTTTGTCGAAAAACAAAATATACATCTTGAGTATTTGACGGGGTTCTAATCCTCTTTTAAGAATAATAAATTAGACGGCACTGCAGAAGAAGAACAAATACCTTATTTCATTACCCCCGGTGCTTTTCGTTGGGGGATCGTAAATTATTAGGGCGGCTCACAAACACGGTCTTAATACAGTTCCTCGCGGGCCTTTTAATTTATAATAAATCGCCGGTCGTGTTT